ACCACCACGCACCACACACCACACCCCCCAACACAAATCTGCCCTGCTGTTCCATTGCTTGCACCCGCGTCGTCGTCAAGTGAACTCCACCCGTAAGGTACTACTGTGACCTTACCTTACTTCTACCCATCCCATTCTCTTCCACCTTCAGATTCCCCCTTCCGACGCAGCTCTTCCTTCTCCATCTTCCTCGTCTCCGCCAACAAGCTCAACCTCCTCACAACCGACCGCAACTCAATCCGATCTCCATCGCTCGCTCGCTCACTTTCTTACTTTCACATCCAATACAGACACCATGGCTGAGATCCGCCGTAAGCTCGTCATCGTCGGCGACGGTGCCTGCGGTAAAACCTGCTTGTTGATGTGAGTATTGACCCGTCTCTCCCTCCCGCTCTCTGTCGTCTGTCTGCCTCCCTCTCCGCTTCCGCCTGGGCCCCAGCGACAACCAATCCTGCATCGTCGCATCGCCGAAAAAAAAATGAAAACACAGACAGACAATATCTCTTCATCAAAGACTTCATCATGCTGACTAGTTCAATAGTGTCTTCTCCAAGGGTACCTTCCCTGAGGTAAGATTACCCTTTTTCCCCCACGCCGACGCGGCCTCCCGCCTCCTGTTTCCCCCATCACGAAGCCAGGCTGAGATGCATCAACCCATCAACAATTCAGCCAACCGATGCTACACCCGCCATTCAAGAATCCGTTTCCGATCCCGCAATATTCTGACAATTAATTCAGGTCTACGTTCCCACCGTTTTCGAGAACTACGTCGCCGATGTCGAGGTTGATGGCAAGCACGTCGAGCTGGCCCTTTGGGATACGGCTGGCCAGGAAGATTACGACCGTCTCCGTCCCCTTTCTTACCCCGACTCCCACGTCATCCTGATCTGCTTCGCCGTCGACTCCCCCGACTCCCTCGACAACGTTCAGGAGAAGGTACGCTTACTTTTTTCTTCCCTCCCCTTTCGGATTGAATGATTGCACTCGATAAGCAACTTTCGCTAACACGTGCACTTCTTCCCATAGTGGATCTCCGAGGTCCTGCATTTCTGCCAGGGTCTGCCCATCATTCTTGTCGGCTGCAAGAAGGATCTCCGCTACGACTCCAAGACGATTGAAGAGCTGCGTAAGACCAGCCAAAAGCCCGTCTCCCCTGAAGAGGTAAGCTTATCCTTCCCACTGGGACAGGGGGTCGCTTCGGGCATCTCAAGATGCTCGGCGGCCTCAAACGTCTCTCGCTACCACGATTGCATGCTAATTTCGTTTATAGGGTGAGGAAGTCCGCAAGAAGATCGGTGCCTACAAGTACCTCGAGTGCTCCGCCAAGACGAACGAGGGTGTCCGCGAGGTTTTCGAGCACGCCACGCGCGCTGCTCTGCTCTCCCGCAGCCGGAGCAGCGGCAAGAAGCACAAGTGCTTGATGCTCTAAATACCCAATGGGCGAACTTCCCAAACCCTTTCTCCCTCTTCGACCACAACCCCCATTTGTAATCATCAAGGTCCCAGCCTCCATTGTCTTTTCCCAACTTTTCGGATGAGAAAGGGTTTTTGGTGGCGGTTTGGAAGGCGGGGGCAATATTTGCCTGCATAGGTTCTCGGAATTTGGAGTTTTGCTCAACATTGTGTCTCATAACCCACCTGGCACCACATCGATCGGCGTGTCACCGTATCTGGTTCTGCGGGGCGTCTTTTACTGAATCCATTTCATTCCCTGCCGAACGGTGACTGGGAGAAGCAACAGCTAGCCGTAATCCCCACGAGAAGAAGCTGCGAGGAAAAGGATTTCTACTACGGATGTCTCTCACGGTCAGGGGAGGAAATGGCTTGTTGGCTGGCGCGGCCGGCAGCTGCTAGGTGACGATGGACAGTGAGTTGTTTGGTAACCTCGGGGAACGGCGGTATGGCAACGGTCTTCGGCTGTGGAATCGGCTTGTCTGGCCGTAGTATTGCGACGAATCCGGCTACATCATAAATCTTGTCGTGTTATTTTTCTCTTTTGACGCCTCGCAGCTTTAGATGGCGGAGATGGACATGTGTTTCCTGGCTGCGTTTTCTTCTCTCTTGTCGATTCTCTCAATCCAGGTCTTTGATAACTCAAACTGCCTCTGACCGTCTATTGCCATTCGCGTTGATAAACGTGTCGCCTTGTTCCCATTGCAAAGTTGATCCACATGACATCAGCTACGATCCCTCTACAGCATCGTCATCGCCGTCATTCTCACGTGCCAGGGGGTATAAAAGATGAGATGAAAGATGTACAGTGGCAAGGCACCGGACTTCGAAGAGAGAGGTCGCGAAAAGAAGAGGTAAGGTAGCCCAGGCAACAAGGGTTATATCGGTGATGTTATTGGGATGGAAGTCGCGGTATGTACTATACTGGCTCTTGCCTGGTTTTGTCTTTTACCAAGAGGACGGCACATGACGGTAATGAGTTTCTAAACATAGGCGACATTGGACGTATAGGTGAATGATATTAGGGTAGTCGTGACTTTCAGAGTTGGGTAGCGGTGTCACGTTGATTACACTGCCCCGCCTCTGGTGAAGGGGATGGCCCTGTTTATGATATTCTGGACGAGGGCGACTATGCGGTGCTACGGGAACGCGTATATGGGCATGTACAGGGTTGAAAACGTACACAGTAAGGCTTTGGTGGTAGTTAAAGGGTATTTATTTGATTTGATTTGTCCTCATGCTCACGGGGGACGAGAATGAGTCTTGTCTCTCTGGAGACGGTTCGTCAAATTTTTTTTTTTTTGAAGAAATCCCAACATGAGCTTGGTCATGATTCAAACTGAGTGAACCTCCTGTCCGAACCCCCCGTGCGTTTGTTGGCTGAATGAGCAATGACGACAATAACACAGCATTGTGTGTGTGAAGGAGTGTGATGGTATTCCTGATCTCATTCCATTCCGTCTATAAGTCTCGTCCAACTCTCAGACCACACTTGTCAGGTGACATTTCTTTTTGCGATGAGCATAGCTTTTCGCTAATGAGCTGCGATTTCGCAAAGACTGATTTACGCGGGGCAGGTCTATGGGTAGAGCAAGCATATGTTAGTGTTATTGTTTGTTGATTAGAAGTGAGGGGGGGGGAGGGGCTGCGAAGTTCAGATGAGAGGTGAGGTGATGGGTTATGAGTGAGGGGAGGCCCAAGTTTGAGAGTCTAGAAGGGTGAGTGAAGGCTTACAGCGCCGCAAGAGGAGCAGGTCTTTGCGGTAGAGGCAGTGGCGGCGCCGCACTTGGGGCAGGCGTTGGTGTGGGTGTTGGTCATGGGCTGCATATTTGCGGTTATTTGGTTGTGTGAATATGTAGTTGGTGAATTTTTGTGTCTTGTGTGAGTAGCAAGTTGTTGTGGTTTTGTGAAGATGAGACGAAGGGGAAGCTGAAGGAGGAGGAGGGGGGGAAGGGAAGGGAAGCAGACGATGGTGGAAAGCGGGGTTCTTATTATTCTTCAACTTCTTCAGTCCGCGCGCGAGGCGGCGGCGGCGGCGTGGTTCAATAATCTGCCTATTCCCCCCCGTTCGACCAACGCAGAGGCTACCCTGAGATACCACACTGGTTTTCCTACTCGTGACCCTCTTTGTCTCTCCAGCTATCGGGCCTGTGGTAACTTTGGAAAGGTCCCTTACCTTCTTACGGTTGGAGTCTGTAGTTCGGAAGTGGGAAGGGAAGGTAGGTAGTGGAGGTGGTGTGGGCTATGTGAGCTTACGGATGGGTTGTCATGCGAGATGGACGGCTTCTCGTTGGCCAGGCATGAAGAGGGATGGGGGGGGCCACTGGGGGTGACGCTTTACGCTTTCCTCTGAGAAGCTACCTTATTAGTAGGGAGAGGGTCGCTTTTTTGGAAGCGGTGGGCTGGCGGGCTGGGTGTTGTGCAGCGGAAGAGGGGACCCTATTCCCTTGTTTGGGGCGGTCTTGGTTAGTTGTCATACGTTCGGGATGGGCCTTGGAGCGATTCGTGGTCGTGTATACTTAGGAAGGTGTGCAGTGATAGGTGAGGTGGTTGGCAGAGTGTGGACGGCGGCGGCGTCGGAGGCGGCGGGCGCGCGATGCGTGTATAGCGTGAAGGTTTAGGTAGGTAGGCTGGCAGGCTGGCGGGCGAGCAGGTGCCGAAGAGATCGGGTGGTTGGAACATTTCGACATTTCGGACGATTGAACGTATCTTTGGCAGTTTGGTATGTTGGAAGGCGTCCAATGATTTTGGTGGCAGTGGTTCGGATACGCCCATCTGGGCATCCGAAAATAGGGCGACAGTTGATGCGCCGAGGTAAGGTAGGCAAAGTTGTTGGCATCAGCTATGCATGCTGATCGGATGTCGACGAGTGCTGTTTCAGAGAGTTTCTGTAAGAGTCGACGTGCATCAGAAGGGTGATGTGACTGGGTGTTTGTAGATATCTGCATCGCCGAGAAGCGCAGGCGGGAAACTAAATGCACTTCTCGCACTTCCATTCTTCGGAGAGACGTTTGGGTTGTTGCCTGCCCGGAACGATGCAGCTTCTGGCACGTTGTAGTTCGAGGTAGCATGGAAGGCGAGATGGGCAGCAAGTCACGCGTGGAAAGTCCGACGGAAAGTACTCAACTCTCCATACCTTACCTGAGCTACCTCAACTGGGCAAAGGTACTGCCGTTGTTACCTTCTGCCCTTCGGAAGCGGCCGCCGGTGTTGTGTGGACTATCCGTACCTGTCGGGTCGGGCGACTCGGGGCGTAAGATCAGTGACCGTTTATCCCGTGCGCCCCCGTGCTTTTCTGCCCAGGCCGCACCGTTCACAATGAATGGAACTGACACCACACGCCCCCAATCCCCGGATCCTTACCCCGTTTCTGTCAAAACGACCAAACAACGCCCGAGAGGACCGGAGGCGGTGGGGGTCACACGCACATCGAGTTGATTCACCCAAAAGGCGTGCGCCGACCGAAGAAAGGCTACTCTCATGGGTAATAGCCCAAGTCAAGCAGAAGACCATGGAGCTGCCCAGAAAACGGGCACCAAGACGAAGAGATGATCGTGTTATACTCCACTTTGTACGTGAACCCCCAAATTCACAACCACCCAGAATGCCCCTTTTCTTTTTGAAACTTTTTAACCTCTCAACATTGGAAGCATGGTGTTCCATTCGTTAATTCTTCCCCTAGGACTATGATTGCTTCTACGCTTCGGTTTTTGAGAACAGAGACCCTCGGCTAAAGGCACTGCCCTTGGGGGTGAAGCAGAAGAACATCTTGGCCACGTGCAACTATGTCGCTCGCAAGCAAGGGGTCAAGAAGCTCATGCTCATCACGGAAGCCAAGCGGCTCTGCCCGAATCTCGTCATCATCGAGGGCGAGGACCTGACGCCCTTTCGGGATACGAGCAAGAAGCTTTTCGGCTTCATGAGGGGCTACTCGTGGAACCGCAAGGCGGAGAGGTTGGGATTTGATGAAGTTTTCATGGGTGTGTGTGTGTGCTGTTGCGCGTAAGAAACGTGGAAAAGGGGTCAAGTTGGCTGACTATGGACAGACGTCACGGATATCATCAATTACAACATGTTTTGCCTCAACCGGGCCTCGCTGTCAGAGTCATTCTTCCACCTTTCCAAGAAGGATCCCGAAAAGGGGTTCCTATGTGACTTGACCACAGTTGCGGGCTGCGTATATGGAAAGACATCCGACACAGGAGACCTCGACAACTCTGCCTACGTGCGCCTGCTTCTGGCGAGCCACCTGGCCTTCCACCTGCGCATGAAGCTCGAGGAAGACTTTGGCTTCACGGCCTCGGTCGGCGTATCCACAAACAAGCTGCTCAGCAAGCTCGTGGGTAGCGTGAACAAGCCGCGTAACCAGACGACGCTAATGTCTTTCGACGATGCCGTCATCACCAAGTTCATGGACGCGCACTCTGTCAGAAAAGTCCCCGGCATCGGCTCCAAGACGTCGCGCGCACTGGAGGAGAAGTACCTCGCGACGCCCCTGGGACCCGACGACGCCGACAGGGAGACATCACCACTTAAAGTCTACGACGTGCGCACCCACGAGCAGACTTCGCCTGACGCGCTGGAGAAGCTGCTCGGTGGTCCTGGTTCTGAACGGGGTATCGGGGAGAGAGTATGGGGCCTCTTACACGGGGTCGACGACACGGAGGTGAAGGACGCGAGCGATGTGCCGTCACAGATTAGCATCGAGGACACGTACAAGGGGTTGGAGAGCATGAGTCAGATTGAAGGCGAGCTACGCAAGATATCTGCTTCTCTCATCCGGCGGATGCGGACCGATCTCCTGACAGACGGAAGCAGCAACGACTCGATCGAGCCGGGTAGTCAGAGATGGATTGCGCACCCGAAGACATTGAGACTCTCGATTCGGCAATGGCCTTCTTCTGATGCGCCGCCGGGGACGTCGTGGCATTCACACCCGGACTTCCAACGTATTTCCCGATCCCAACCTATTCCTAACTTTATCTTTAACACAAAGGAGACACCCGATTCCCTGGCGGAACGACTGACGACGGAGATCTTGCTTCCCACGATGAAGAAATTCTTTCCGGCTGGTCATAAGTGGAATCTGCAGCTAATGAATGTCTGCGTCGCGAATTTGGCCGCCAGTGGTAGTGAGGCCGGACCAGGTGTGGGCCGGGATATATCTGTCATGTTCCGCAAGCAGGATGACGTTCTCCGACAGTGGAAGATTGACACGACCATCGTGGAAGACGATGACGGCGGTGGTGGTAGTGTTGATGATGCTCAACTCCAGTCAATCTCAGATGACGAGGTTGAAGAGATGGAGGTGGAAGAGTTTGATGATGACGGCGGATCATGGGCAGGCGACGAAATTGCGGCACGGTGTCCGTTGTGCGGCCATTCCATACCGCCGTTTGCCCTCGCTGCCCATGCGAGATTCCACGACTTTGAGGACTGAAGAAACCCTGGGTCTGTTCTTCTAGAACGCACAGAGGGAGCAGTACGCGGACGGGAGACTGGGGAGGTCTGATGCGAAGGGGGAGTACGTTGACGGCAGCGGGACCATGTCTCTAGTTGGCTCTGGGAGACCGTCTTCTGCGTCGTAGAAGGTTTCCTCCTCTCCCTCTTCGCCAATGGAGCAGACCGAGGATGACCAGTCGTTGTCGTCATCGCTGTTGTTGTTATTGTTCTTGTCGTCGCTGTCGACGCAGGTGTCGTCTGAAGAGTAGACGCTGGAGGGTGCGTTGGACCTGACTGAGAGGCGACTCACAGCTCCTTCGCGGAAGAGGAATTTCTCTTCGGGGTTGAAGTTGCCACTGAGGTCTTGGATTACTTGCATCTCCGGTTGGTGGTCGATAAGGGTCTCATCCGAGGACATCCATTCGTGAATGTCTGCGTTCTTCATGAAGGGCTCAGAGCTTTTGCGTCTGAGGATCCTGCACCAGAGGCACTGTTTCTGGCCGCCGTTTGTGCTGCTGCTGCTGCTGCTGCTGTTGCTGCCGAGGCGGAGACCCTTGGCCTTGGCCTTGAGGATTGTGTAGCGGTTGTGCAGACGGATGGCGAACTTAGTGGCCATTGTAGATGGTTATGCTGGTTGGATTGTAGTAGGTAACAAGAGGCCGGGCTTGATATGGTCAAGTGTGTGGTAGGAAGAACGATTGGATTTCGTCAACGAAGAGAAGTAACCAGGTATATTTGTGCGTGTAGAGAGTGGGATACAGCATAGCATTCTTAGGAGTTCTTTGGGCTGATGCCTCTGTTTATATACCTTGGATAGGTAGTAGAGTATCCAGAGAGGTTTGTATTACACAGTCTGCACAGGTTCCATGAGTTGAGTAGGTTTCGCAACGGTGTGGGAGAGGCTGTCATTGTGGAAAGTTTGATGTGGAAGGTTTTATAATACAACGGTTCAGGGCCGCCCGCATATGAACATGCTCGAAATGAAATACCTGCCTCATGACATTCAGCCGTGCTAAGGCAGTTTGTATAAACATTTAGGAGACCTTGTTCATGAGACTATGATTAAGTACGTCTATGTTGGTTTATCTGGGCCAACGGAACCAAACAAGGGGAGAAGATAAGTGTATGTATCTATAACAACACATATAAAATGGTCTGCGAATCTAGCTGCCTTTCGGTAATGCTCACAAGGAGAAGGGACACATGGGTACGAAAGGTTTGTCATCGATGCTTTCGGATTTTGACGGTCCACGGCCATTTAAATCAAAAGAAATGACGGATCAGACGCACCTTGTGAGAGTTCCTGGTGACCGAAGAAGCCCAGGTAGAATAGTATAGCTTATTCCAGGTACCTTTTTATTGAGGAAGTCCAAATTTGGACTTCGTGAGTCAAAGGTACGGCTAGATGGCGTTGAAGTTATAAGTCAGTAAGCAATGGATAGTTAAGGAAACGATGGGACATGAAAAAAGTACGATTTCTTACCCCTGGTGTAAAGGAGTAACTTATGAACATAATCATCATGACACCATTACAGCTCAAGAGATGCTGGCAACAAGAGGGAATGGCTAACGCCAGATAGGTCAAAGTCTCTCAAGGAGGCGGGTCAGCAATATCATGCCTCAGAACGGAGAGACAGAAAGAGGTTCAGACTGGACTCAAAACAAAGCACGACCGAGATTTCATCGCGGCGTAATTGGCATTTGCGGACCACATATCGTTCACTCTCCCCAAAGAGGTAGGTGAGCCCCCAGTCGCCCGACCCTCCCCCCACCCTTCCTTCCTTCCTCGACACAACCCAAGGGTATATAGTCCATCCCAACGCGTCTTCCTGTCACCAGCACCCATCCGGATTGGCCGGGTGGTTAACACTCTGACGCAGAGAAGCTAAAACAAATACTCCAATGAAGCCGTGCTGGTCCGAGGGGCGCGCTGTTCGAATCTGGGCAGGGGCGTGAATTATAAGGTCAGTTATCCCCCTCCCTACATCCTTTCCTTTTTTTTTCTTTTCCCCTTCTTAGTTTTCGTACAGATCTTGACTGTAATGCAATCACACCCAAATGTATTTTTATTAGAAAAATATTTATTATCTTGGGGGTAGGAATCGACAACTTGATATGGCTAGGAATTCTGGGATGCCCTAATCGGGAAGAAAATCTCCCCATTACCAAGTCGTTTCTCTTCGACATAAGTCTGGAAGAGGCTGAGGAGGGGGACCTTCCATCGCCCTAAGAGCTCCAAAAAAATAAAAAAAAATGAAACGAAAGACGTCACCTTTCAAGCTGCCAGTCTCGTGCCGTGGGGTTGCACAATCAACCCTTAGGTATGTGAGATACGTTAGTTATAGATACAGATCTTACTCGGGGGCTATCACCGTCGTGTAAGCGCACCCAGTCCTCTTTCGAATGTTGTCATTTTGGAACACCTTCGGCCCAGCACTCTATGAGCGTTGTTGGGAAAACGTTGGAACAAGATATCAGGAAAATAGACTTTTATGACAAGGAAATCTATCCAGCGCTACGTTACAAAGACACAGCGATCTTCAAATCATACAGCCTGTCCACTCATTCAACGTGTTATCAAACTAAACCGGCCCAAATACCCTCATCCAGACATCCCCTGACAAAGGAAAATGGCGTAAGTCGTTACTGTCATATCTTCATTCACCTCTCTCCCACATTTTTCTTTTCATCATCAGTGAATCCTCGACTATAAATCTCGTCTTCAGACCAGAAAAAACATGGATCAAATCACCGGAACGACCGATGAGACCCCCCATCAACGCTTGACCCTCTTCCCCCAGCAGACCCCTTTCGACTATACACATCCTCCCACGTAGGACCCCTATCACCACCGCCGCGCCTTCCACTCCCCGGAGACCGCGGCGACTCATCCCTCGACTCCAAACCGCGATGCCCGTCCCGGTCCCGACCAGAATACACCCCGTAATTAGCATCAGCCCCACCGCGGATATCAAACGACGAAGGCGAAGGCGACGCCGCACCGCCACTGCCGCTGACGTGGTGCTGCGAGATGGAGGGCAGCGACGCGGTATACCTATTCGTCGGCGGCGGACTCCGCTGTCGTTGAGAAGTTGAGTGCCTACCGACCGGAGGGGGAGGTAAGTCACGATGTCTGGGCAAGGATACGCCCGCGTCCGAGTTGGCGCGCGGGAGACGAGCCGGGTGCGGTTCGACGCGGTGGGCACCGCGATCGTACGTCCTCGATCGGTGCGGGAGGGATGCGGGACGTTTGGGGAGGTCGCTACCAGACCGGCGAGTGTGCGTGTTCGCCTCCGGGAGTCTTGTCACGTCCTGAGGTAGCGGAGCCGGTCGAGATTTTGGAATGGACGGTAGGGGCGGCGCGACGTCCTCTAGGCAGTCCCACATAGCTTCATCAGTGATCTTGCGGACCTTTTTGTCGTGGATCTCTGGGAAGAGGTGCCGGGATAGCTGTCTGGGGAGTCTTTCGGGTTTGTCGTTGAGGAGGGGTCCATCGGCGTTGATAGGGAGGGCGGTCATGATGGCGTGTAGACGCCTGGCTTCCAGGTCTGGGTAGGCGAGGATGTTGCTGATCATCCATTTGGCGAAGCCTGCGGGGGTCAAGCCGGGGATGTTGGGGTGAGATCTGGGTGCGGCCTGGACGAGGTGGTATTGGCAGTCTAAATCTTGATACAGGAACTCGATTCGCTCCAAGGCGTCTTTGGACCGAGACCTAAAGATGTCTGGTGACGATTCAGCAGTTTATTCCGAACCATGAATGAGAAGGCTAATTACCTTCATACTGGAACCTTTCAGGTTCGACTTTGTACTTGGTGTACAGCATCAGCATCTTTTCAGGGGTAACGACGAGCGTGTCTGGCGACCCAAACTCCGTAACCTGAAGTTCATGTTAGCCGCACCGAAACGTATGAAGAGGGGGGCAGATGGCGTACCATAAAGGTAGCGAGGCCTCTGAGCACACTGTTCAGTCGATTGGTAGGATATCCCTCTGAGTCGAACAACACGCCCCACGCCTTGTCAACACTGCTCAACTCAACTCGCGGCGACGCAGGAGCAGTTGGCGAGACCTCGTCCTCATTGTCCGTTTCAACACGCGGTTGGCAATGGATGACCGGTGATGCCCTCTTTCTAAAGTGAACTCCCCTTTGCTGAGGGCTGATGGGCGGTGTGGACTGAGGTGCAGATACGGGAACCGTCGTTGGCGGCGGTTGTTGCTGATGCGGAGGAGGAGGCGCCGACGAGGGCTTTGCGTGTGCGAATTCCGGACTGCGATCTCTAGGTGATGAGGTCTTGGAGGCACCGCCTGCGTCGATGACGGAAGGCGGCGGGCTGGGGTACGCCGGCGTGAAGGCGGGATTCTGGCTGGATAAGGGGGGAAACCGAGCTGCGTCGACGGGAATGCCAGTCTCATTGGTCTTCAGTTGAGCGACTTGAGCGACTTGGGCAACTGGATAATATCGTCAGTAAACTTTAGCTTTTCAAAATACAGAAGTCAACAAGACTGACCTTCTTCTTTGATAATTTTCCTCAACTCCTCCAACATGTCAGACGGCATACTACCAAGACTATCGCGAGGTTTCGAAGTGAGCGTCTCCATAGTCAAGCTCTCACAGCCCTGTTGCTGTTGCTGCTGCTCATCCGCCCTGTTTCCGTGGCCATGGCTCCCCTTTTGTTGTCCCCAGCCGTACTCCCCAGCAGCCCGTCCTGGTGACAGCGGGGAAAGCTCTTCCGGGTCCGGGCGGCCCGCCTGATCTCTCGGCAGGGACCAGTTCGTCGTGGTGTTCAGCCTTGGCCGCACGGCCTTGCCAGCCGGAGTGGTAGTCATGGCCGGTTGCCGGTTGCCGATGTTTTTGTTATTGGATATGCCGTCTGCCGCAGCATGCAAACTCCCGCGAAGCTCAGACTAGATCGTTTGTACGATGGCAAATAACAAGAAGTGTGTAAGATTGGATGGAACCGGAGCGATTGGGCTGTTGGCGCGATAGGAAGGGTAGCCGTATATACCGAGCAAATAGACGACGAAAAGGGAGCAGACCGAAGCGACGGTGAAATAGACAGCAGAAAAGGCGGGAATAGTTATAGCCCCATACCCTCTTCGGACGCCGATGGGACACTTGAGAGGGCTCCCCAATGAGATGTTGACATCTATTCCCCCTCGCGTCAGGTGGATTGATAAGGTGCAGCACGAAGGTATGAAGGGTCGATCACGGAGGCAACACCACGAGCGGCATGGATGATGCGGAAAAGTGCATTTTCAAATGCGAGGGATAAAGATGTGGTGTTCCCCTCACTCAGAAGATAGGAGGGAGAAATTAGCATAATAGATGCGAGAGAAGAGGAAATCAGCAGGCTGTGTGTACGTGGTGGTAGCCCGTACAAAGTAGTCGGGCGAAGGCAGTGTAGAGGCCACACAAAGTTGCCCTTTTCCTGCCGTGCACCGTTTCTCCAACGAGGCCCATCCCTGTCCCATTGGGCCGCAAAGTTGTCTGCATGGCAATGTCATGGGCTGGTACACGGCACATCGGTAGCGTTTCGATGCGTCACCGAAGGAAGCAGAGATGAAAAAGGAAGTCGCCTGGTAGGATTCCCCTACGTCAGGGTGTCCAGGATGTGGCCGTCGCCAGAGGATGCGATGACATCGGGAGGGTTTCGATCTTGAGGCCACACGCGTTCGGGAAGCTGAAGGTTTACGCCTGGGATGGAAACTAGACCAGAATATCATTATTCCCGTCGTTTCGAATTGCTGTGTCCCAAGTCATGGTTCCCGTGTCGCTCAAGATATCTTAGCTTGAATCGCGTTGGACAATCCAAGTCAGGCGACGCCATGTTTGCTCGTTGGCCCTGAGCCGGCAGTCAGCGCGGGCGTCCCATCGGGAGAGTTTTTCTTGGAGTTTGGTTGCGGTGCCACCGAGCGGTCCCCGATAAGACCACAGGCCTCGACTTGAGACGCAGCTTGAAGGGGAGAGGGCTCTTTGGATGTGATGCGAATGCGGAAGCTTTCGATAGTGCGGTGTGGGATGCTGCATGTAAGTGCAGGAGACAAAGAACGATACCATGGGTGACCCCCCGGAATTGGGCCGTGACGCTCCGGATGTCCCGCTGGCCGTCCGCGGCAAGGCGCCCACCGAGATTTTTGATATCAAATGGTTCGCCTGTCCGCGCGGCAGGCCGCTTGTAATCGAGATCTATTAACGCCGATATTGGCATCCAATGATTTCGACTGAGTCTTCTGCACTCGCGTTTGCTGGCGAATCGTGGTCAGAGCGGTAGTCCTGAGACAACCCTAACCGCCCGTGAAGATAGAAAAAAAAAAAAAAAAAAAGACCCGACAGAAAATGAGACAACTCGGTCCGTGAGAGAGGAAAGCTCCGATCGAACACACTCGTTCATGTCTTGAACATGTGGGGGTCCCGTTCGCCCCGTCCCGATCCTCGAGCCGGACGCAACAGACCTAGTAACAGCGAGCCAATCCCCATTAGCTCGGTAAGCTTCGTGTGGTCAGCAGAGCAAAGTGGGAGCGATATCGGTGAGAATCAAAAAAGACGCTGAATAAATAAATATGTTACACCGTTATATGTTACTGGGGCTTTGTCCAACCCGAGTCCAGACCAAATGCTCGCCAGCTAATGCACTTACAAACTCCCAACCGATTTTCTGCTTCCTTCCTCATGCTTTGTACAACAAGTCCAAGAAGCCGTTGGCCAAGTCAACAACCACGCTCTTGTTCGGCAGGGATCCGGCAACGCCATACAAAGCAGCCGAGTCACCAACGGCCTTGCCCTTGACACCCTTACCCTCTACAGCGCGAACTCTCTCCTTTTCTTTCTCGGCCTCGACAACAGCCTCAAGGTCGGTCAACAACTTCTCGTAGACCTTCGTAATTGGTAGAGTAACGGCGACGTGGATTGCAGGAGGGTTCTGAAGCGCGTTCAAGTGCCAGCCCTTCTCTGACATGCCGTCGGCAATGTCGTAAACGTTGAGATTCTTGGCGGTGAAGGCAACAACAGACACCAGAGGCTTGCCCAAGATTTCCAACTCGTTGTCCAGCGCTGGTGTCTCGCGAATCTTCTCAATAATTTTCTTGGTAGTGCCGACGATCTTGACACAAGCGTCGATGTAACCAGCCTCACCGACCTTCATCAAACTAGCCCAGCAACCGGCAATCAGGGCACCTGGACGCGAACCGGCCATACCGGGAGAACCGTACACACCGCCAGACCAATCCGGCGACACGTAGTACTGGTATTTGCGGAGTTCCGCGGACCTGTACAAAACCGTAGAGTTGCCCTTAGGCGCGAATCCATACTTGTGGGTGTCGCAGCTGATGCTCGTGACGCCCTTGAGACGGAAATCGAAGAGCTCGGTCTCAAAACCGGCCTTGTCCAAAAAGGGGACCATGAAGGAACCGAGGCAGCAGTCGACGTGGAGGCATAGCTTCTTCTTGATAGCTAATTTGGACAGAGCGCTGATGTCATCAATGATACCGTGAGGGAAGTTTGGTGCGGAACCAACCAACAGAATCGTGTTGCTGTTGATCAGGCGGGAGACGGCGCGAACATCGACTTGGTAGTTGGGCGCAGGGCAGGAGACGTAGTGGATCTTGATCTTGAAGTAGTCACCGGCCTTGCGGAACGCAGTGTGGGCGGTTTCGGGCAAGATCCTAGTGCGCGTCAGTAAGAAGATTACAATATCAAAGCCTCACAGAGAGAACGTACATCTCAGGCTCAGTAATACCCTTTTCAAAGTATCCTCTTTGGCGCGCGCCGAGGCAGGCCGACAAGATACTGTCTGTACCACCAGCGGTGGTGGCACCGGCGGCGCCGGGGGGAGCGTTGAACATGGCAAGGACCATGGAAACAACCTCAGCCTCCATCTTCCTGACGCCCGGGAAAACATCGGGGTGGATGGGGTTCGCGACGGTGAACTTGCCAAACGCCTCAGTCTGCAGCTTCAGTAGCTCGTCCTCGCCATGGTAGACAGCGCCAGAAACAAAGCCATCCTCCCATCTCGTGTGGTCCATGTTCGCCAGAGTGTCAAGCTCTTTTCGGACGTCGTCTTCGGACCAGCCCTCCTTGGGTAGGGTCAGGTATCGGGTGAGGTTCGCGGGGATCATCTTGGTCTGCAGTTTCGCCATGGTCTCGTTGACCTGCTTCTGGACCTGGCCGCGGACGCCGGGGGCGCGCAGGAAGTAGCCATACAGGACTCTGCGGATATCAATGTAGATCTCGACGATGCTGCCAATCAGGCCGCGGCCCTTGAGCTTCAGGAACGTCTTGCGCGTCCATCGCCAGACGAAGAGGAAGAAGATGATGTTGCGCAACCTGCAGGCCGGGAGTCCTCGAGGTTAGCCGATGCCGAGGTTACTTCGGGAGAGATGCCGAAGTGGAAAGATGAAAGCATTGGCAACTCACAAGTCGAGGTTCAGGACCAACAAGGGACTCGCTTGCCGACTACGCTTGACTTGGTTCAGTCCTTCGCGCAAGCTTGCGGGAATGCGGGAGCTGCCGGGCATCTTGTCTTCTGTCGTTGTTGTAGCTCGGCACGGTGGGGTGTTACGATTCGCGACAAGCAAGCAATGGAGATGGGGATCGTGGAAAACGGAGACCAACCCAGGTGGATGCGAATTCCGATTTATAAATGCGCGGAGTAGAAGAGAATGCGAACGAGGGGGCTCAAGAGGAAAAAAAAAGAATTGGAGACTGGGTGACGGGATGAAGATCAAGGCTAAGAGTTGGAACTTTGGAAGGTTCCGACGTTAACAACGCCACAGCAAGAGCATCACCGGCGACCGGGGTCAAGGAAGTAGAGGTTAGAGGGTCTTTGCTGTTCAACTGCTGTGGTAAGCAGAGCCAACGGCTGGATCCCGAGGAGCAGAAAATCGTGGGGCATGGCGTCTTCTTGATTATTTCTTAGCGCCGTTTACCCCTGTCGGTGCAGCGAAGATAGCGGAGTACCTTCTGGACTTCTGGAGCGCCGCTTCTCTCTGGGGAGCATTGCCGCCATCCGGTCTGTCACATGCGCCACTCCAAGCAAGAGGAGCCCTGTTTCCCATGGTTGCCCGCTTCCATCTGGCTGCAGGCAGTATCATCCACGAAACCTTTCAGGCAAGTCACAGAGACAGGGGGTCCTACTTCAAGCTTGACAGCTCATGTCCGCGTCGTCTAATTGGGGAAGCGACATTGACTAACAAGGTAGGATTCACATTGAACCGATGGCTTCCTCTTAAGCTGGGTCTTCCCCAACGCGAGGTGTCAGTGTCGAGGTGGAGCAGCCAAAGATGAACACCACCTCCAAAGTCCCAAAGGGGGCAGTCCGCACCGCGCGACGTGCCCGTCATCTTATCGCTGCGACCGATACCTGACGACATTTTTCACGCGAACCGAGGGCCTTCAGACTCGGCCGATTGGGTAGCCTGTCCGATGCACGCATGACTTTGCGTCCAGATCGCCAGTCTTCTGTTGCTACCTTGACTCCTCTTTTCAAAAGAAGTGTGACTTTGTTTTACAGAAAACCTCCATGCTCAGAGCATAATTCGGGGGCGTTTTCTGTCAAAGCAACCTTGGAAGGTCATTCAACTCTGTCCGTCCGCGGACTGTCCCGGAGCAAATAGATCCACTATAGCGGGGCGGAATCGGGCCCGCGGACACCCGTCACCCGGCTTGATCCAATGGCCCCGGATACACCTGGAAGTCGCATATCCAACCATTGAGTGTCATCATCTCCCTCTTCGCATAAGGGCTGATACTGATAAGCACAGATGCCGAATGACAAGCAATTTGGGCTTGAACTCGGGTCGCACAATGCCCACAATGTCAAAGGTCAACCAGTGTCCTGGTGAGTAAGCTTCGACAAAGTAGCCATGCGCTTTGCCTCACATCGACAGCATCAACGTCCGAGAGATCCAAGCGAACCCCAGGCGCTGCCTGGGAATTCGATCTTAGCGGACGACAATCTTGCAGCCGAATCGCAGACGTGCATCGACAACCAACAACTTGCGCCTAGACTCTTTCTCATTGGTTGATGTGAGGTCGCCTTCCCTGTCCAACTCGCCTTGTAAGTAAAGGGCAGTCAGAGATCCTCATGGGGGCAAGTTGGCCCAAGTGGAGACGATCTTGCATTTCTGATCGCGGCCAAGAACAATTGCTTGTCAACGGTATGGAGATTTGCGAACAAAATCCGTATTAGCATCCGCGCTGTGGCAGGATGGCCAATGTCTATCGGTATGGTATACAAAACACAAGAAGACGCAAGCCTTCGGTCGTCAAAACGAGTCATCATCTCGAAAGTATCAAGAGAGAAAAAAACATAACAACCCTCATGAGCGCCGTGCGAGAAGCTCATGCAACCGGGTAGCCTCCAAGGCTCTTGACCATCTGTCACTAACCCCCGTACAAAATTCCTTCATGAGATGGTCTCCCCAAACCCAAATAAACGCCCTCGTCCAGCTCTTGTACACTTGAAATGCCGAGTTCATGCTTCCTGGGGAATATAACGCCTGGAGCTTCTCTGTGCGTTGGTCCTCCTCTAGCGAGGACAAGCATTGCTCTCTTCTAGCCCTCCGTCTACTGCGCCTTGAAGGCCGCCTGCCACTTCGTCTTGAAACTGCTTAGCTCCTCGTCGCAAGCCCGCTCTCCAGTGCTTGTGCAACCAGCTGCGCGGACAACAAAGTGACCATCCTTGTAGATCTCTCCCTTGTCATATCGATTGTAAGAGTTGAACGTCTTCTGCGGCACGATGGCGAGTTTCGAAAGGATGGTAGGATGCCATTGTACAATGTGTTCCTAAGGCAATGGTTAGACTTGGCTCATAGGCAAAAACAAGAGGGAAAAAGGAAGGGACTTACCAAAGCATGACCCTCAGCCTTCTGAAAGTTGTAGCTGCGGTACAGCGGGTCAAACCAGGTGTCGATGAAGAACTTCGCCCATTCGCCATTCCGAATGAAGAAGCTGCTCGAAGATAGACCCTCCCTGTCTTGCGTGACAACGAAATCGATATCGTCGCCTCTGAGATGAGGGAATGTTTTGATGATGCTGTCAGGGGGCACAACCGGGTGATCCCTGGCCATCAAAGTATCAAGCATGTCCGACTTCAACACCAGGTTCTCTAGAGACGTCTCCGGGTCCATGATGTAAGCGTCTTGATCGAGGTACCAGAACCATCTGGCTTCCGGGAACTTTGTCATTGCGTGCCTCAGCGACACCACTTTGTTCCATGATGATGGAGATCCGTTCAGATCGTAATCGCCCGCCTTTACAAACATCACCTCGTAGCCTAAAACAAGAGCTATTAGCATGTGCAGTACAAAGAAGAACCAGTGAATGCCTACCGTGTAGCTGCGCATATTGTTTCCTATTGTCGCGAATGCTTGCAAGATATTTATTGCTGTAGTTGTTTTCATCCAGCACCGTCACTATTACCGCTGGTGGGTCGCCAGAGGGTACTCGAGGACCACTGGGTGACTTGAAGGCTCCAGAGAGAAGGTATATGAAGCCGAAGAATACAAGGGCGCCTGCTGCGATGGCCTTGAGCCTGCTGCGTCGAAGAACTGGTGGTATTCTTGAGGATCTCGCCTTGAAGGGAGGCGGGTTCGAGCTCTTTCGTGGTGGGTATGCGAAATGCATCGTGTCGAATTAGGAGATTGGTTCAAAGGGAGAACTCGTCGGCCTACGATCGAAAGAATTGTCGCGGCTGGACCAGCGTCGAAATGCGACGCCTCGATGTCCCGGAAATGGCGGTCGTTTAAGGACAAATTTCGTTGGTGTTCGAACACGAGAGAAGACGCTGACTGTGGCCGTTGCGACTAGAGGCTTGGCACAGAAAGGAGGGAGGAAAGGGTGATGGAATGTCGAAATCAAGGATCGTCGGGGTATTCGCAAGGGCGTCATCCAAAGAGGCGCATCACGTCCGGTCCTCGAGAAGTCTGGGCGACACCTTGGAAAGCGAAAGGGTTGTAAGGGAAGCAGTGGTGCAAGGGCGAGGACGGCCGGTCAATGTATAGACTGGTGAACACGAACTCGATACTATGGCTTCGTTTAATTCGAGGTCCACTCTGGGAGCATTAGATCTGGACCGCGCCGAAAACCATCAATCATTGGTCCGGTCGGTGGTATTATTGTCCGGTCGGGCGATCCCTGAGTCCCCTGAGCCCCTCCTGTCAAGGGTTGCGCTGGTTCCCCACCACCAAAGCAACGTCAAACCCAATGCTCTATGCGGGGTGCTGTAACGCTGAACATGAGCTGTAAATTACGAGGTAAATAAGATTCGGTTGTTTAAAAGAACTACCCGACACTCGACGTGATTCTTCCTTGCAAACCTTCACTAGACATACGGTTCATCATCAGTGTCTAGGGGTGGAAGTGTTACACACAGAAGTTTATGCATATCTTTCGTCATTATCAAATTTCTTCAACTACGCCATTGATAAATCCATGAGACATATGTGTATCAGCCTGCGCGTTTGCCAACTCAAAGGATGTTGAGAGTTGTCGTCGGCATGGTCAGCCAACAGAATGTTGATTGATTGATAGCAGGTTGATGTCGTCCGCTCGTCCAAAGTAAATTTAACCAAAACGGCTCAATTCAAAGACAGAGCAGGGACTTTTTCTCCGCACACAGACTAGTTGACACGATATGGAAGAGAATCTTCGAGGCAACTTAAGAGTGTGCGGGTGGCATCGCGGGCTAAGTGACACATGGCGCTGCAGGCGTTCTGTCTCTTGAGCAATAAAGAATGTTTGCGTTTCTCCACATTCCGGCCTATGTTAGTCTTCCTTGATATCTTCGTCCTCATCATCGTCACCACCCACATCGAAGACTCTGTCGCTCGCACGCTGCAGAGCTGAAGCACTGAATTTTCTCACGCCCTTCCAGACTCCCCACAGAAAGGTCGCAGCACCAATGACGACCAAGCCCAAGTTGATGTTCTCGACACGCGCGCGACCAGTCCCTCCTCGACGCCCAGAAGTACTGAGGATACCGCTGGATCTCAAGTTCCACCATTGGACGGGTGACAGAGCGAAGAGAGACTTCACAAACCCAAGCAGTCCAAGAGAAAAGAAGCCTTTGAGGAAGTGTTCCAGCCATGTTCCAGGCTCCGCACCCATCTCAGGTACAGGCTCGTGAATTGCTTCGATGTCGTCGAGAACATTCGCCGCCATATCCGCGATTGCGCCCATGGGATCAGTCCATAAGTTCAGAATCGGGTCCGCAATGAAGCCCAGAATGAAGACCGAAACGATGAAGATGAGGATAGTTAGTACTATTTGCGCAAAGGTCCCTTGCAAACGATTCGCCCAAGATAATCGCTCCAGCTTGTATGAATAGCTGCATGTGGGGCATGCAAAGAAGTTCCGCGTAGCTGTCGAGTCTGCATACCTCCAAGCTTGCAAGCACCCTTCGTGGACGTAGCGTTGAGACCCCTTGCACTTGCATGGTGAGATGAGTCGTCCAGAGTCGGGATCATCGGATTTGTAAACAGGTCGTGGGCGTGAGTTCATGAAGCCGCTCATGACGCTTGGCTCTTCGAAAGTGGGATGAACCGACTCGAAGCAGATGCGACATGTTCGCGGTCCGTAGTATCTTTGCTTGGGCGAGGACTGAGGTTGCTCCTGGGGTTGGTCTCTGTCCTGTTGGCCATGGCCCTCAGACTTTATAGGCTCTGTCTTCTCGGGTACATCGGCTTCAGAATGGCTCTTGCTCGCGGGACCTCCCGTCGGGAGGTCAGATGGCCAATTCCAGTGAGGCTTCGCAGCATCCATGATGAACAGTGGAAAATTTGATTGCTGTAGACGTTGGGCTTTGATGCGTCTTCAAAGCATTGAGCTTTCCGTATCGCGCAGGTGGAGTGACTCTGTGCTGTGAGAGGAAGGGAAACAATAGAAGACTTGCAGTGAAAGACCGGCTGGCTCGGGGTTGGAAACTTGGCCTAACTTGACCAAGCGTAGCAGCGCCTACATGACAAGAATTAGCGTAGGCAGTACGAAAGCCTGATCTGTCCTTTCGGAGAGCTGTGCCTGTCGGAGAAGCTGCGCCAAGCGAATAGGATCTTTTGGAGGGCACAGGACAAATGAAGAGCGAAAAAGAATATTCCAGCACCAGGCACTTTATTGTGAGCTTTCTTCAGGTGGTCATAGCTTCCGGCGCCCCTCGGTTACGTCAGCAGTCTGACCCGGATCAACAACTGAGCCGGTGATGTCACGTGCTGCTAGTTCCCGAACGGCGTCCGGCGTCTGGCAGCTTGACGCGGCGCGAGTTGCCTGGGAGGGAGAGCTTCGTACCTGAGCTCTGGCAGCCTCACCTCGTTTGACCGCAGCCAACCCACCCACCATCCTCCCCGACCACTATACTTGACATCACATCTCGACTGCACGATCAAATAATCAAGCAATGGCCGACCGTTACTCTTTCTCCCTGACAACGTTCTCGCCCAGGTAATTCTATATGCTTTTCAACCTATGACGTCCGCATGCTAATGGATTATAGCGGCAAGCTGGTTCAGATCGGTATGCTCTAACATAACCCCCACCGGCCAATGTCTCCCAGCTTCAGGAACGCCACGAACCCTCGAACAGTAGGACTGACATTCATCTAGAGTATGCTCTGAACGCCGTCAACCAGGGTGTCACCGCCCTCGGTATCAAAGGCAAGTCGACTTGCCCCTCCTTCCGCAGCCTATGCTAACCCCTCGAAAGCCACCAACGGTATCGTCCTTGCGACCGAGAAGAAGTCATCATCGCCCCTTGCCGACCCTAGCTCGCTGTCCAAGATCAGCCTCGTCACCCCCGACATCGGTATGGTGTACTCAGGCATGGGCCCCGACTACAGAATATTGGTGGACAAGGCTCGCAAGGTATCGCACACCGGCTACAAGCGCATCTACAATGAGTACCCGCCTACGCGGATATTGGTGCAAGATGTTGCCCGCGTCATGCAGGAGGCTACTCAGTCTGGTGGTGTCCGACCTTACGGTGTCAGCTTGCTGATTGCTGGCTGGGATGAGGGTATCTTGCCCGAGGACGAGACCGAGACCAAGGAAGGCGAGGAGAAGAAGCCCACAGGCAAGACCGGTGGTACTCTCAAGGGTGGACCCATGCTGTATCAGGTCGATCCCTCTGGCAGCTACTTCCCGTGGAAGGCGACGGCGATTGGCAAGAGCGCTACGTCTGCGAAGACGTTCCTGGAGAAGAGATACACGGAGGGTTTGGAGCTTGAGGACGCCGTGCACATTGCATTGCTTACGCTCAAGGAGACCATTGAGGGAGAGATGAATGGAGATACCATTGAGATTGGTAAGTATTCAAGGCGTGTCGTCGAAAATGCGTCTAACTGGAAGTATAGGCATCATCGGACCTCCTGCAGACCACCTGCTCGGTATCGAGGGTGTTGAGGGTGCCAAGGGCCCTCGCTTCAGAAAGCTCAGCCCTCAGGAGATTGAGGACTATCTTACGAATTTGTAATGTGCGCAATGGCTAGGACGGTCTTACCTTGTATCATAGAACAGCATAGAGACATGGGGACACGAAAACTCCGAGCTCTAGACTCAATGGATGACCTGCAATGACGGCATGAAGAGATATATTGCACATGTGATTGGGTATCGTTGCAGATTGGCCACGACTGGCGAGTTCCTCGCAGGGAAAGATGCAAGCTGTCATGGCCGTTGCCCGAACTGCAGATATCGGTAAAGGAACTTGACTGACATGCGGCGTCGCTTGATAATTATCAATGGAAGAAATCTTGATCAGAGAGTTGGATGGAGCCATATATCAGGCAACAGCTGCAAGACGGTCACTGCCGAAATGAAAGAGAATCGCTGGCGACAGTCGGCCGCCTCTGGCAGCCAGTTCATTGGCTTACCACGATCTGAAACTTCTTGCCAGTTGCTGTGCCGCAGCAACCTACATAGTCACCTGATAGTCCCGCTTGAGGGTATTTTGGGACCGGTCACCGGGTGTGCCTCGAGTGCCTAATCATCAGGCAGATGACACTTTCGTGCGGTGGTCTACTGTTGTCTAGACTAATTGAGGAGAAGTAAGCCGCATGCGAGTAGCAGGGCCTTGCATTAAGCTAATCGCACCTGGGAGGCACAGCATTGCAACTCAACCAAGCAAGTCAAAGTAAACTTCAACGGACAACCTTCGAATTTTAGAACTTCTACGAATCAAGAGGTGATCTGCAACATGCGGCTATGTATTTTTTTCACCGTCATGTGAATACAATCGAACAAAAGTTCAAACAAGACTCTATTGCATTGGAGACGCAGGCCCGGATGACCCAGTTATTACTGCACTTCGCCACATTGCTCTCAATTGAAGAGCAGGGTAGCATCCAGAGACTGGAATTGAGGTTGCAAGCCAGGTCGGCTCCAATAGAGCTACAGACTGGCAATCCAGTTAGATGAGTAATACCTTGAATGGTCCGATGTAGAACCCCGGAAGGAAGCAGGCTCTCAGGTGAAGGCCTGGCTCACGATCCGAAGCCGATGCCGCGTTGCTTTCATAAGCAAAGATATTCCTGTTCTTTGCCTGGCAAGGTACTGACGCACGTTTTCCTGGAGGCGTCAACTAGCTGCGTGTACAATGCTGGATTTGTTCAGAGTCCGGGCGGGTGGCTATGTAGGCCTCGGGTTCCGGAGAATCAAGACCGACAAATTCGGCATCGGCCCCGGTTGGGTTAGTCCTATATTCGAGCCGGGGTGAATGCGGGTGACTGTGGGAACTCTCGGAGCATGAGCGAGCCTAAATGACAGCTGTTGGTCCAGGACTCCAGGCCAGTAATCAATTATCCGTCACGACGGATTAAGGTACCGGAAGATTCAAGATAGGTACCTGATCTTCCACATTCTGGTTGGGAGTTCTAATTGATTGGGCGGGGGCCGATGTCAGATCGCTCTTTCTTTCGTCCGAGTCTTACTATGCCCATCAAGCAAATCGGAGCTGTGATACGAAGCAAGACTTCGGCTTTTCGAGATTAGGACGGGGTTCCCGGAGCCCAAGGCTGTCGTTCGCTCCATCGCCTTTTCTTGATCCCTGTGTCTCCGTTCAAAAGTTCACTATACAAGCGCCGAGATGATTCTTTTCAGACGATGCGTAACTGCGTTGCGAAGTGGTATACGTCCTCCGCAGATGTGGGCCGCCGGCCTCCTGCAGAGTCCCTGAACTCAACAGAACCGACCTGTTGCAGTGCGTGTTGGCTTGCGAGTGCAAATATGGATAGTATGCCACGGATACGTGTTGCCTCGAGGTCTCGTTTTCCCTCTCTGCTCATGTGCAACGAGAAAAGAAGCAAACAAACGGCAACACGTTCCCGAACGCCCTCCAGGCACCCACTGCGACGTGATTCTTCGCAGGGACCCCAACCTCTCAGAAACTTTTATGCCTCCGCTACGGCATCATCGCCATATCCAAGTCAGCAATCAGGCACTTATCGCCGAGTCACGCATGCATCGCACCCATCGCGTTAGGCAAATTCTACGTGTACGAATACACGGAAGTTGTATCCGCAGACGCCCCAGAGTGCTGTGCATCGAGCCCCATGAATCCTGGTCCCCGCGTCACACGAATTCTTGGCCTATTTTCCGTTTTGAGCCGCGTCATTTAACCTTACACACCTTTTTTGACTCATACCGACCACCCCACTGCCTGGCGAGTCTTGTCATTGTACCCCGGTACTTTGAGCGTGTTGGTGTACCTGTTCTTGGCTTACTTGGATTCTCCCGAAGTACCGCGCTTCCCAAGACCGTGGTCAGGACCCTAGGACTGGGTCCTCAGGTCCACGCTAGAACCATACAAACAATGACTAGCCATTCACCATCATCTTCCGGCGAGGGTGCAGATCCTGTGCAAGATGATGTACCTCCCAATATGCCGGTCCTTGGGCCTCATAACCAGGAGGCACTCTCAGCAGCCGCCGAGGAGTTGTTCCTGAGCAATGAGGCCTCTTCGCCTCTAGCTGAGCCAGCCTCAGGCAACTCGGTCATCATGAATGCGAGGGCCTACCAGTCCGAAATGCTTGCCGAGAGCATGCGGCAAAACATTATCGTTGCTGTAAGTCTCGTCGAGCCTGTGGATCCAGTTCTAAAGATACCATGGGTTGATTAACACTTGACAGATGGACACGGGTAGTGGCAAAACACAAGTGTAAGTGGAATATTTACGAGCAAGCGTAATTTCGTGATATTGATAGAGGCTTCTATAGAGCTGTTTTGAGAATCAGAGCTGAATTAGAGAGAACGTCATCCGAAAAGGTGCGTTAAGACCACCGCGGATCTCTGTTGCTAGGCTAACTATACAGATTGTCTGGTTTCTAGCTCCCACGGTATCGCTTTGTAACCAACAGTTTGAAGTTCTCAAAACCCAAATACCAGAGGTTCAGATAAAGTTCCTCAGTGGCGACGATAATGTGGACTCATGGTCCGACCAGCAAGTTTGGGATGCAGTTCTTCTCAATGTGCGCATAGTTGTGTCGACGTACCAAATCCTCTTGGACGCGATGTCGCACGCATTCGTGCCTATTTCCAGACTATCGCTGATAGTCTTTGACGAAGGTTTGTGGTTTAGAAATTCCGAAAGTGGCAGAGGCTGATCGATACGAACTAGCTCACAACTGCGTCGGGAAGTCTCCAGGAAGCAAAATCATGTCACTCTTCTACCATGAAGAACAACGAAAAGGCCGCCCTACTCCACATATCCTAGGTCTTACAGCAAGCCCGACTTTCGGTTCCAAAGTCGAAAGCATCAACACCCTCGAAGCCACGCTCGACGCTGTTTGCAAGAGCCCGACGATGCACCGAGACGACCTTCTTGCTGCTGTTAACAAGCCAGAGCTGGCATCCGCAATCTTTCAAAATCGAAACGAATACGATATTCCCAACAGCTTGCGAAGTTTGAGGATGGCTATACAATCTCTCGATATCTCGGAAGATCCCTTCATTCGACACTTACAAGCGGAGGGAACAGATCGCAGTCAGCGTGAACTCATTGCGGTTCTCAAAAGTCACGACACGTACATCCAGAACCAAATGACTTCCTTTGGCCGCCAAGCGAATCAGATATTCAACGAACTTGGACCCTGGGCTGCAGAGTATTATATCTGGGAGGTGATCTCAAGATTCAGAGCCGCAGTCAGGGCTCAAAGTGTCTGGCTTGACACTTGGAAGGATGAAGAGAAACAATACCTCATCAACGTTCTCAGTCAAGTCGATTGCCAGTGCCCATCGAAAGAGGCCATCAGCCGTGCTGTTCTGTCGAATAAGGTGTTCGTTGTCATTGAACAATTACTACAGGATAAGTCTGACACCATTGGCATCATATTCGCGAGAGAAAGAGCAACTGTTGCAGTTCTATGCCATGTGCTGACATCGCATGACCTGCTGCGAGAGCGATATCGAATCGGGGCCATGATGGGCACGTCACAGTTCCAAGCGAAGAAGAAAGATATATGGGACCTTTCTCGCGTGGAGGATCAGCGGTCACTACACCAGTTCCGATCCGGGAGAACCAACCTGTTGGTTGCTACCAGTGTACTCGAAGAAGGCATTGATGTGCCGGCCTGCAACTTGGTTGTCTGTTTCGATACCCCGCCGAATCTCAAGTCGTTCATCCAACGTCGCGGGCGGGCCCGGAAAAAGCAGTCCAAGCTTCTCATGCTACTTGATAGCTCGAATCCGTTGAGGAGAGAGTGGGAGACCCTGGAGGCAGAGATGAAAGCCCAGTACGAAGAACAAGAGAGAGAACTTGAACATCTCCAAGAGATCGAGCAGGCTGAGGAACCAAAGGAGATGATCTTCAAGATCGAACAAACTGGGGCTGTTTTGGATCTCGATAACGCAAAGCAGCACCTCGACCACATTTGCCGAATACTATCCCCGGGAGAGTTCATCGACTGGCGGCCAGATTACATCATCGACAAGACGAACACAAATGGCGCGCCAGACTTGCGGGCCACCGTTCACCTGCCGAGCTATTTACCAGCCTCGGTCCGCAGCACCGAGAGTCACTTGACTTGGAAATCAGAGCAAAATGCTACAAAAGACGCTGCGTTCCAAGCCTATCGCAACCTATACAAGGCTGGACTTGTGAACGACAACTTGCTGCCCTTCAAGCCAGAGGACTTCGTGCCCGGAATAGACAAAAGAGCTGCCATCCTGCAGGTCAACGGTCTACTCAATGCCTGGATTGGAGTCGCCAAAGCCTGGAAAGTTGGTGACAATCTAAGGGCAACTCGGATCATGCTCAAGGATTCGGAAGGGGTTGTCCAGGGAGAGTACGACATGGTAATTCCCGTATGGGTCCCTGGGTTGCAGACGATACCCATCCATCTGGACTATAACGTCACCTGGTCAATTGAGTTTGGACATCAGCTTCCCATTGATGAGTTGACCGGCAATGATGACACAGCTGTACTTCTTGCGCTGCCTTACGGTCACCGCTGGGTTTCGGCGGATCTCCAGCAGATCGTGAGGTTCAGTGCAGTTGATGCTGGAGACATGTCCGTCGATCAAATCGGCGTCAAAGGTTTCGTCCCAGGGGCGATGTCAGACTACGATCTGACCTGTTTCATACGCGACCAGACTGGTTCCCCATATCTATACGACAATGTCATCCCCCGTAAGCCGGCACCCGAAACTGTACAGAAGATGTTCTACGAATTCGAAAAGGCACCAGAGGATGAACCTTACCTGGCTCTCAAGAAGTGGTCCCGTAGGTCGGACTTCCTTCATCGGCCACAGAGCGACCCCAGTCACGGTCCAGCAACAATCAAGCCATATAATCGAGTCTACCCGATGTCGTGGGCAAAGGTGGACAACATCCCTGCCAAGTACGCCCAGTTCGGTGTGCTTATACCATCAATCTTGCACCGTATCGAGACCTACCTGGTGGCACGAGAGCTGTCTATGGGCGTGCTGAGACCACTCGCCATCTCTGACCCGTCTCTGGTGGTCACAGCCATCAGCGCGGGAAGCGCGTGTGAACCTACAAACTACGAACGCATCGAGTTTCTAGGCGACTCTATTCTCAAGTTCTCCGCCACAATCAATGTGGCCGCTCTGAGTAAGTCCACCTCCAGTAATCTAACAGGCTGTGCCCGAATTCCAGAGTTAACACGAAACCAGACCCGGACTGGCCAGAACGGCTCTTGTCGTTCAAGAAAGACGCCATCGTTGCAAACTCGACCCTCTGCAAAGCGGCCATTAAGCACGGCCTCGATAGATTCATCCTCACCAAGCCCTTCACGGGACAGAAGTGGCGCCCAATTTACGTGGAGGATGTACTCCAGCACGGTGAGGAGCCTTCCACGAGGAAGATCTCCACCAAGACGCTCGCAGATATCGTCGAAGCACTTATCGGGGCCTCGATGATTGACGGCGGTCTCCCGAAAGCGCTAAAATGCATGTCCATCTTCCTCCAGCAGATCAAGTGGAAGACCCTGGACGACTGCAGACAGGCCTTGTACGACGTCGCTCCCCCTGACGTGGAACTCCTTTCTACCCTCCAGCCCTTAGAGCAGCTCATAGGCTACGAGTTTAAAAAGAAGTCTCTACTGATCCAGTCCATGACCCACGCCTCTTTCAGCCTCGGCAACACCTTGGGCTGCCTGGAACGTCTCGAGTTCATCGGCGACTCCGTCCTCGACTACATCATCGTCAACCGCCTCTTCTCTATCGACCCCCCTCTCCCACATCAGACGATGCATCTCCTCAAGACAGCAATGGTCAACGGCGACTTCCTCGGCTTCCTAGCTCTGGAACAAGCAGTCAGCCAGGACGAGGTAATCATCACAGCTGGCAGCAGCGGCAGCAGCAACAAGAAGCCCGAGCTGCAACACGCGCGCTTCGCGCTGCCCCTATGGAAGTTCATGCGCCACCAGTCCCCCGCCATCGGCCTCGAGCAGCTCAACGTCACGAAGCGGCACGCCGCGCTCAGGGACGAGATGGTCGAGGCGATGGAGCGCGGCACGACGTACCCTTGGGCCCTCATGGCGCGCATGCAGCTGCGCAAGTTCTACTCTGACATCTTTGAGTCTCTCCTCGGTGCCGTCTACATCGACTCTGGAGACCTGGACGTCTGCGCTAGTGTCGTGGAACGGTTCGGCATTTTGGCGTACCTTGATCGCATATTAAGAGATGGCGTGCACGTGTTGCATCCCAAGGAAGAGTTGGGTCATTTGGCGGACAATAAGACTGTGACGTACGTTTTGGACGTGCAAGATGTTGACGATGGCGAGAAGCGGTTCTCGTGCAAGGTTATGGTTGGCGAGCGGTGCGTTGTCGAGGTTGACGGTGGGATTTCTAGAGATGAGGTCAAGGTTAAAGCCGCGGATGCGGCGGTAAGAATACTCAAGGCGGAGAAGACTGCAGCAAAACAAGAAAGCATGGATGTTCAGGAAGATGAAGATGTAGTCATGGAATAAGGGGGAAATGGTTAGAAATGTTTGTATGTCACGGGCACAGAGGCAGAAGAAGGATTTTGGCAGACTGGAAAAGCAATCAATTCTCATTTTGATGTTTCAAACGAGCAAATTTGCGTTTGATTTCCCTTTTCAGAACTGACTACCTATCGAGGGGTGGGATAAAGTGCAATAAGAGGGTATAAAGTGGCGCTTCGCCCCTGAACTCCTGATCATAGAAACAATAAGCTGCTCGCATTATAACCATGGCGAGACTGGCATTCTCAACTCTCCAGTCTGAAAATACTCCCATGCTCCCAGACTGCCATAAAGAAAATCATAAGGTTCCTGAAGCTTGGCTTAATAAAAACCGAAATACGCTATTTGACCCCGAAAGCAAAGTTGCGCCAAAAATTGAGGGTCGTGGTCGTGATATCATTCTCTGCGGAGTGGCGAAGAGCAAGTACTAAGAGAGTACATTCAAGAAACTCATACGTCTAGTCGTCGGTGAGGTCAATAGCCTCTCTGTTGGCGTCGATCTTGATCTTCTTCCATTCGCGTCTGGCAGGCTCCTCGGTGAGGTCGTAGATCTCGGCAAACTCGCGTTTAATGATAGGACCCTTTCTCTCTTGCTTGACGGTGCCAGATCGACGTCCATTCTGTGACAAGTCAGTCTTGGGTTCTCTATGAAGCGGTAAGGTTGCAACATACGTTAATCTCGTCTAGACGCTCCGCAGCTAACCGTCTAATATCGGCCTCAGAAAGCTCGTCAATGGCCTCGGGGCTTGGAGACCGAGGAATGATGAGCTCCTTTTGCAATGCATCTGAAAAAGTGTGAGCTAAGTAAGCAGAGAGATGACTTGCCGATCGCCTCGTACCTCTGGAACGGTATTTAAACATGAAGCACGCGATAGGATTGCCGCCGTTGAGGTATTCTGCGCACACTGACTTCCTCTTGGAAACAAATCCACCGTCAGTGAGGCTATGAAGCATGTGAGCACAGGCAGAATTGTCACATGGCGAGAGAATGCAACTCACGAGGTACCGTGAGAGACTGCGCGGCCCTTGAGCGCCTTTTCCGCAATGTTGAAACTGGAATTCTGATTGTCGTGGTAGTGCTCGTGGCCTGACGAGTACGAAGGCCCTGTGATGGTCAAGGGGTAGACAAAGACCTCGATGACGCCGAGGGACTTTGCCTTATTAGAGTCTCCCTCGACGCGCTCCTTGGTGGCATCGTCAACTGAGATGCATGTCAATACTCGAAACACATGCTAATGGCACCGCCAAGATGTGACAACTTTACCAGTAGTGACTTGGGAGAACTTGAATTTGCTCAGACGATCAAAAGAGGGGTCCCTTGAGCTTTCTCGAGAACCCTCAACAACTGTGCTCCATTCGTAAGATGGATCGAATGGGTAGAAGCGACTCGCCTCGCAAACGACACTATCCATGCGCTTGCCGTCGACATATAAGTAGAGTGAGAAGCCGCTTTTCGGGCTTTGCCACCGGTGCATGTTATTAACCTCGTACGTTACGGTGAAGCAGGTATCGTCCTTGGACTCGATGTAGTTGAAGGTACGGTGGGTTGCGTGCTTGCGGTTAATATCGTTCTCCAAGCCATCCGGGTCGTCGTACTCAACGGCTTCCTGGCCGTTGACTTGGACGGTGACTTTCACACCCTTGAGCTCGTCGATGACAGCCATCTTGCGTCAGAGTCTCACCAGTCCACTTGAATGACCCGCCGACAGAGAAGAAGGTGGTGGTCCGAGTGGTTTTGTCGTTGGTTTAAGGTAAGGCGTATGTACGATGATGAGAGAAAAGTGGAATGAAGTCAATTTGGAATGAGTCGTTTAGACCCACGTGAAGATGGGGAGGAAGAAGGTGCGAACACGACTGAAAAGGCAATTATTGGGTGGGGGTTGCCTTACATTGATGTGCGCTCGCTGCCTGATTGGCTGTTCTTCATTGTTCAGGCAGAAGTGGGGTAGCATGCTGCCAACTGTAAGTGAAGCAGCTGGCATTTTCCCGATACATGTTCATTCGCCAAAGCTTCGTAAATGCCTACGAAATACTACTAGCCGAGACAAACCGCCCGCCTCGAGTTGCTCTAGTGTAAGGACGGAAAGAAAAATCGACGTCGTTACAGTTAGCAAACGGGTCCTTCCCGCATTCCTCCATTGATGAACTACCTATATGGGCTATAGTCTGCTCGGGGTATCAAAGCTCGCTAAATAACTCCGGGGCACGCGGGCGGGTAGATCCCGCTGCACCAACGGCCAAGAGTGGACTCGGGCAAGCCACCGGCCCATCATCCAAGAAAGCTCCAACTGGGTAACACGATACCCAGCTTGCCGCTCAATACCTTACCTCTATTTCTCCCATTTCCATTAGGTACTGCTCCTACTCCTACCACTGCTGCTATGGCTCCTATTGTTACTCCCATCATTGCTCTTACTGTTGCTATTGTTACCACTATCATAATCGCTTTTTACGTTCTGTATTTACATAATACGCTTTAGAGAGGGAAGCATAACAGGTACATAATACCAATCGTAGTAGGCCTAACAAGCACTTGAATATAGAAGATCATCTTAATAAATACTAGTAAACTCTTGAGTAGATAAATCTATGGAATTGAGAGCAGAGTTTTACCCCTATTATAACGTGTCGAGGCCGAAAAGCAATAAAGTGATGCTTCAGGTATTGTGCGGCGAGCAGGGCTCCCCGGATAACATAGTTTGTCTTCTTCAATACCAGCACTTCGGGTGAAATAGCAATAGAGATGACAAGATGGGAGAAATCAAGAGATTGGTCGAGCATTACATGGCCGAGGCCGTGAGGGAAGGTAGGTATACCAAAGACCGCTGGGACTGGTCAGGGAGTCAAGACCGTCTATAGCATACGAGAAGCCCATAGAGACCTCGTCAAGCCCCTTTCTGTCACCAGCCAGCAGGCGTCTGTCTAGATCGATGGGTCAGGTTAAACTGGCTGGGTGGTGGAGAGGTTAAGGATCCAATAAAAAAAAAGCCCACAGCCTACTCGACGACAGGCTACGAGTTCGAATCCCAGCATGACCGCCAAGACATGTAGCCATAACGGTGGTGAATTCATTTTTGATGTATCTAGACGGGCTTTAGTGTATTATGCAGATTTGCGATTATTCATGGATGCACGCCGGTATGTAGTGAACACACGCCTTGACTATTTGGTCGTGTGCTGTTCTTGTCTACCCTTCACTTGTTTACTGACGAGGCGAAGGACTTCGGCTCACGCGAAGATCCTGATGCTAGGATGTTGTCTATGGCTCACTTGGTCTGGAAGATTGAATCCGCGCGGCACTTAGCTACCTTATGATGAATTACGGTCGATTTTGGCCGCCTTGAGGTGCTGATACTGGTATTTTCTCTCTGGTGTGCCTAATACTCCAGCGGGTTTGCTTCTTGCCCTCCAAGGCACCTTCCGTCTAATGGACTAGACCCTTGCCCCGTATTTCCACCCTCCTCCTTCCTTCTACCCTCTTCCTTCCTTCTGCCCTCCTCGTCCATCATACTCTCTTAATTTCTATCACCCTCCTCCTTCACTCAACACTATTCATTCATCAAATAGGCGCTCAGACTAATCAGAAGTCTTCAGGATCTGTATGCGGCTCGCTACACTCCAGAGGCCTTGCTCGCTCTCCTAACGCAATCCTGTCAACACGACTCGGAGTCATCATGGCGGTGATTGATGGCCTCCCAGAGATCAAGGTTTCCATCCGTATCAACGGATCTGAGGAAGACTGCATCGAGTACGACGATCCAGATCCCCCGAAATCCGCGTCATCTCGGGGCTCGGCAACACATACGATCTCCAAAATCATCGAAAGCCAGGTCGATGCCGGCTTTTCTATCCACCAAGAAATTCGGAACCGCCGGTCTTGGATCAATGGCAAGAACTGGCTTGCGTTACATTTTCACATTGACGGCCAGTACATCGCCACATGTTACCGTGGACCTGATTCACTGGTCAACCAGACCATCGTCTCAACTACCGACAAGTTTTGGGACAGGTATACTACACCTGGCAAGGAGATTAGAAGGCACTTCAAATTCACGTCCATCAAAACAGGTTTTTCTCCGCCATCTCTTTTCATCGATCTTGAGCCGCTAACTTTGGTACCGTAGTCGAAGGGAGCAACGAACAGCTATCAGGTGATAACATCATTGCGGAGCACCTCGGCATTATCGAAGTGGCCGTATTCCGTGTCAAGTTTGAAGGCCGCAAACCCGTGACCCCGGCACAGTCGAGGAGAGAGAACATAGGGGATGTCTCTGAAATCGCACTCAAAGGCAAAAGCATACCACACAGCACATCGTAAGAAGTCCAACACTTTCATCTAATCATACTGCTAATTGTGTGATCGTCAGCCTCACTAAGGGAATCGAGGTTGATGCAAGAAAGATGAAAAGAAGTTTCAAGAACAGGGACAAATCCCAGAGAATTGCTCGATTCTTCTTCCGATACAAGCCTAAGACTTCTCTTCAAATCGATGGCATCATTCCTCGAGATTCTTCTTCGGACCCCTCTCCTGAGCCCTCTCCTCCACCCCCGCCCCAGACCGTGGCAAACTTGCCGCTAGCTGATATCATGAGACTTGCCCAAGAGCGTTTGGAACAGCTGGAAGTAAGTGATTCTCTACTTAAGGTTATGTCAAACTGACAGTTTCATCAGCTTCACGTCAAGAGAGAGCTTGGAACTGGTGTGAAGCGCGAAGCGGACGAGGAGACTAACTCTCGCTTACGCAAGATCTACAAGGTTGACGCAGATGGAATAATCGATCTCAGCGACGATTGAAGGGATTGTGACAGGTATCTCTTTCAGACTTGATGAGAGAAGGCCATGTGGGCCAGTGATGCGGAGGGTCTTTCGACGATACATATTAAAAAGGGGCGAGAGGAGAATCAGGTCGTATTTGCTGTGATAGACACAGAACAATGAGGGAAAGCAGTTTCTTCAAATCATACCTCACCGTTCGCTCGGTCATTCGTAAGCGTATGAATGGACGCCTTGCTACCACTACCTTTAGCCAGAATGACGGGATAAGCAGAAGACGCGCCTCGAAGAAGATGTATAAGCAGACCACATACCTCAACTACAATCCCTAAACGTGGTTCATCATGGTTGATGTAATGACTTTGAGCCCGAGAGCACAGAAGCTACCAAGGAATTTCAATACTCTGCAAAAGCCTCTCTTATGAGGCTTCTTGCCAGTCCAGTACTGCCGGATTACATTACTGGACGTAGGCGTCACCAAAGCAAAGCAGACGCATGACTTCTCATTTCTCATCACGCCACAGTTCAGTTTCAGTTTACACCCATTGCACAAGGTTTAGTCACAGGAAGTGTCGAAATGGGTGGCAACAGCTCGTATTGATTGCTACTTATGCCGACCATGCACATGAGATCTACCTACTTCGCCCTCTAAAGTCAACCTTGCTTCCTTCAGCAAGATCCCATGAGTTACAAACATAGCCGCTTTATCTACCTGGGCCTCTCTTCCTCACTGAGCGGAAGGCTTGTAAGAGCTCGCTCGTCGACGTTGATCCCTCATTTTGACTGCTCCTTTCCCGCTTTGATGCCGAAGAACTTCCACCTCACCTCGGATACCGTCTCTCATCCAAGCCGTGGCCTCAAACTCTCAGTATGTAAAGGTAGCGAGAAACTTCTTGGGTCTAGAAGGTGAGTCGTTGCCGAAAGCCACCGCGGCAGACCTCTTTCTGCCGAGTTGAGCGTCTTTCGACCGAGTTCCTTGAATCAAGACGGCTTCGTCATGCGGTATCTCTCTCCGAAGCTTCTGCTCCTCCGCGGCGGGCTGTGGAAGCTTGGGTCGGATGGGAATGACTCGTCTGTTCAGCTGAGAGTCGAGCTTGTCTCCCTTGCCGGGTAAGGCAGTAGTAGTCGAGGCAGATTTCGTACCCGCGGTTGTCTGTGTCTGTGCAGGGGCTCTCGGCAGACCACGAAGCTTCGCAGGCAATGAAGAGGAGGGGTTCTTGGCGGCAGCGCCTCTGATTCCGCCTGATCCCTGCTTTGAAAGAGCTGAATTCTTGGACATGCTGATCAAGCCCTCACCGCGATTGTTCTCGTTGTTGTCCTTGGGCCTGTGTAAGGGTAAATTTCCTGGATAAGGTCAGTCTTGGGGAAAAGTTCAAATCGATTCGGGAATTGACAGACCTCTTGGACCATATCTGAAGTTGAACCGGGCGATAGGACGCTCGTAGTTGAGCCGCTTCACGTCGTATGTGTCCGCCGCCAGGGGTTTCTTGACTTTCTTCCCAGGTCCCAAGCTGGATTCCGCTGTCATTAAACGTTCTTTGGCATATATGACAAGGCCTTGCTTGTGACTTACTGTTTGGTCTGAGCTGATAATCCGAGTGCAGTCATGTCGTCGAGTCGCATTCTCTCCGGCGAACCAAGTAGCTTGACGATGTATAAATCAAGGCGAATGGTACCTCGAATCGCGCTGCCATCTTTCCCAGCCGTGGCAAACTTGAAAGGCTGCAAGACCTGTCGGCCTCCACTGTCCACTCCCGTCACTCCAAAGAACTCCATGGGGAATCGGCGCGATGACCGGGCATCGATCACGGTCTTCGTATACAACCGCCGAAGAACCTCAGTGTCGTCAAGATGGATCAGCACCATCAGCCCCTCGTTCTTGGCAAGGAGTCGACAAATCCCTGAGCCACGAGAAGCCAGAATCGAAAATTTTGCTCCCTCCTTGACAGCGATGATTTTGCTGCAGCTGAAAGGGGCGTTGTTTTCAAGGCTCTGTGCTGTCACGTCATTTCGTTCCGGGGCCGGAGCACCAGCGACGGTAACCACCACTCGCATGTTGATATTGAAGTCGAAACCTGCCATCGCTCTAGCTTATTGAACGAGAAGTATCTTCGTGGTCTGTAGGTGTGATCGTACTTCTGCAACTCAACTCAACTTGAGATCGACGAAAGAGGCAGGGTTGTGACTGGAAACGTTCGACCTGCAGCAGGCTAGTGGTCAAATTAGCCATAAAGGCTTGAGGTGTACCTTCCTGTAGAAGGGAATTAAGATATTCCTTCTGCCTTCCATGCTTCGAATCGTGGGTATCTATAGGATGGAAAGTTCGCTGACGGGCTTTGGGACATGCCTAATTGCCTTGGGTCTGGTGATGAGGCTTAAATGAGCTATCGTACGGTGAAGGAGCTAGCAGTGCAGAGATCTATAGTAATAGGATCAGTAATTTGCCTCACTACAGCACCTCTCTCACAAATGTGAGAAGAGACTCTTCAGTAGCTGAATCCCTGTTGTAGACAACTTCGCACCCAAAGTCACATAGAATGACAACAAAACACCTGCATACTTGAGAATTTGGTATGTAACACAACTCATGGTGGTCCGGGAGTAAGGTTTCTGATGAATGTGAGTTCCACTATTCTTCCACCTGATCCCTCGAACCAAGTCTTCTATCAAAGCATTGTCAACTTCCTTTCAACCAAACAATCTCCCCCGTTCAAACTGTCTTCATTTAAGGCCCTCCATTCACTACAGTGAACTTCAGCCTGTGATTCACCACCCCAAAAAAAGGCTTGGTTTGACGAACAAGACTCTTCCAGTGACCTCCATCCTGTGATGATTCCGTCTTTATAACAAACGCACGATCTCCTGGCCTACATCTCTAGTAGCCGCCTGTGAGATCAATAGCGTCATGGCCATTTCCCAGCTTGATGATCTTGTAAGGACGGACCGACTGCTCATCAGCGCCATCCGTAAGATCACAGAAGTCGTCATAGCTCCGTTTGTTATTCTGAGCCGAAGGCTGCGCTTGCTCAGCCTGGTGGAGATGTTAGTCTATGAACCCTATAAAGTCAATCATCACCCTACTTGAAGCTGTTGATGTCTCTCTCGAGCAAGACGCTCGACCTCATCTTCATGAAGGTCCTCGAATCTAGGAAGGCTCGACTTTCCCAAGTAGGCCGGTTTCTGACGGAGGAAAGGCGCTGGGGCAGGCTCCGGGCTGGGGGTCTGGTGAAGGATCTCCTCAATCTTCAGCGCATCTTTCTGACGGTTAGTCCTGTATCAATTCAGAGGCACGCTTATTACATATAGGTACATACCTCGCGAGCGATACTTGAATGTGTAGGTCGCGAAGAGGGGACCCGTGCGAATTCGCTCTATTGCTGCTCGATGGGCAAAGCTAGGGGGTCGCAGACTCTTGTTCACCGGTGAGGTGAAGCTGCGAAGACTTGGTTAGTGTGATGGATACATTTTCGGCAGGCAATTGTTGCATACGAGGTGCCATGGTAGATAGGTCGGCCCTTGATAGCTTCCTCTGAGATCTCGCACTTGTTGTACTCCGGCTCGCGCAACGGTCTCTCCAAGTTGACACGTCTGTTGCGGCATGGACCACCAGCGAATCTGGCAAGTCTGACGCGCACCTCGATTGTGCCAAGATCTTTGGCACGTCCCAATTCGCCATCGGTAGCGTCCTGGTCAACTTTATGGAAAGATTAACATCTATTATTCATCAATAGTCGAGTAAGAGGGTGGGTTTACCTGCAGTAATCGTCTCGAACTTGAAGTTACTCTCGACCATGGCAGTTCTGTCCTGGTTGGGATGTCTCTTGCCTTTGAAGGCAAAGTGCCAGCCTCCATGTTTGAAGTCATCATCGTAGCAGAATCGCTTTCCCATGAAGTGGCCGTCGAGGAAGAGAAGGAAAACCAAACCTTCGTCGTGATGGACCCAGGGATCAATGGTGGCATCGTCCAAGACATTGACGTGGACTGCGAACTCGGTTCCTTCCTTACTCTCAATGTAGTTGCGGGCACACTGCTCGTAGTCATTCATGTATCTCTCATGCTCATAGTACGGATACGGGTCGGGGTATTCGTCAGCGTCTCGGTAGGCTTTCTTGAGGCGAACAGAAACGCTGACAGCGGGGAGGGTATCAATGATGGCCATCTTGAAAGGAAGCCTGGTTCGATTAGTTCGATTCGTGATGTAGAGGGTATGCTGTTCGAAGCTGTGAGCATAAATTGAATGGCTGTGAAGATTTTGGCGGCGGAAAGAAGAAAGAACGGAGAAAACCACACAGCCTTGGAACGTTTGTCCTTTGAACAAAATACTGGTAGAAGAATGTGAAATCGTGAGTCCCCCAGAGAAAGGACTGGGGTGGGATGGAGAAGAGAAATGGAAAATAATTTGTGAAGTGCCTCTGGTAGAAGAGGAAGAAGTATGGCCGAGAGAGGATGTAGAAGAGATGACACTGGGGCAGGTGCAGAAAAGAAGCCAATCGCCTCCCGTATCATACCTTCCGTCATTGTAGATACGAATGCCGCCTCAATTTGGTGACTTCTGAAGCATAGTGGAAGGTGTGCTCAGGATGCACCTGCCTCCTTCCTGCTCGAAGAGATATCCAGCAGCCAGCCATGGGTAAGGTCTGGAGTGAATGGAATTAGGTCTTTTTGAGGACTTCTGCAACATGAAGCGTGAGAACGTCGAGAGAAGTCTCAATGTACAAACGGTATGAATGCTCAAATATCTAGCGATCAGTTTGATTAAAATCCCTTGAAGGTGTGGTGTTGAGATCGTGTAAGTGACATTCAAGAGAGTGGATACGTACCGCTCCGCTTTCCGTGCTTGCCGTCCCCGAATCAGAGGGCCAGACTGCTGAGGTAAGGCGCCGAGGTGACAGTGACGCTAGAACTGTGAAAGGAAACGGGGACGGGGATCCCACCCCTGCAGCGCGCGCCGAATGGGGCCCGCCCGACTCGCAGCAACGCTGGAGCTAGCCCAGCTCGCTCAACTTCCATCTCCCGCCAACTCGGAGAGCCCATGACGTTCAATGCACCTGTCAGGACTCCTTGTCCATCTCCAATCCACGAATTTAGACGCGACGATGGTTGATACCAGACATGTGATGACTACTTGATTCGTTGCAACCTCAATCGATCCTTTCCCCTCCCCTCCGCCCGGACGAGCGCCATCATGTCTCCAGAGGCCTCCAGCAACATTCGAGTCTTTATCCGCTGGCACGACCAGACCGTCTTCGCTGGCGAGGAGATCAAATGCACCATCACCTTCAAGAACATTGCTCGCGATCCGAATCAGCAACGGCAGTCCCAACGACTCGCACCTGTAGACCGACCGAGGCATGTCTCGCCCTTACTAAGAGGCAAGTCCAGCGCTGGCTTGACCCCGCCGAACTCAGCTCAAACCCGCGGTCACCGGTCTGCTCTATCCCTCAATGTACCAGTCGCTCAATCGCGAAGCCGCGCCGGTTCAGTGCCATGGACACCATCGCATCCTCCCAGTGCCCTTGAGCACCGTGGCAACGGCCATCAGAAGTCTGTCTCCATTGTGTCAATTGGTTCCACAAGCACCGTACCCGACGACAATCAGAGCAACGCTAGCTCCGTAAAGGCGCATCGGCCTGGTCGCGGTCATGCTCGGGCATCCAGTCTACAGATTGTGCCTCGGGGAGCTGCTCTGGGGCTCGGTCTCACAGCGCCTCACTCTGGTCAGTATTCTGGTTCCTGATCCTGATGCAGAGTGCAATTACTAACTCCAGTGCAGCATCGCCGAGGCACATAAGCTCACCTTTGTTCAACTCGACATCCGCTTCCGACACACCCCCATCCAACTCGCGATCCTCGACTGCACCGAATACCCCTGGCGTGGCAGGTTCACAACGTCCCATGAGATCGCCTTCCAACGCGCTGGCCGACTTTCGGTTTCCAATGATCCAGTCGCCACTGTCGGACACGCAAAGCACACCGGTAGCGTCACACCACGATGGACTATTAAGTCCAAACACTGAAGTACCTCCAACCCTAGCTATACGGGATAAAGATGGCGTACTCACCAACCCTATCGAGCATCCTACACCAGCCATGCGAATACTTTCGACGACAAGCATGGGCGGAGGAACGCCACGCAGCAGTGGGGAATTCTACTCAATGAGCAACAACTCTACGGAAACTCTGGCATCTGAATATCCAACTCAACCCACGCGGGGGCCTATGCGGCCGCCGCATTTCCGAAAGTCTTCCAACTTTGCCTCACATAACCCTAGGCAACCCGAATCGTTGATGATGGGTTACGCTCAGATTCAAGGCTCATTCACCTTGGATGGCTCACTCATCAACCTCGGGCCGTTTGAACAAGTCAAGCGAAAGGCCGTTGTCGGCGGCCAAGGAGGTGGTGTCATTGGTGTGGAGCCTTCGAAACGGGATAGTGGACTGCTTCGAAGTTTCGGATGGGGGAGTATCAGCAACTCAATCGGAGAGCTGCTTGGAGCCGGCGAGGTCAGCAGCATTAAAGATATGCGCGGCATCGCCAGCGCCAAGTCTGTCCCTCTGCTCTCGACTCCTCAGTCCATCTTGTTTGTGGACCTTAATTTGGCCCCCGGAGAGCACAAAGCTTTCGAGTATTCATTTCAGCTCCCAAAGGGCTTACCACCGACACATAAGGGGAAAGCGGTGAAGATATCTTATAATCTAGTGATTGGTACACAGCGAGCAGGTGGCTCTAAGGAGCAGCAGGTGCGCTCCGTTGAGATCCCCTTCCGGGTCCTCGGCAGCGTAAACAGCCATGGAGAGATTCTTGGCCATGATCTCATGAATCCGTACATCATACTTCGCGACCAGGCGAAAATCAAGACTGTCGACAAACTATCGACCCTCAGCGAGATCAAGAAGCTAAAATCGACCAAGACGGACGCAACAATTAATGAATTCCTCGTATATGTCGACGAGCTTTTAACAAGGCCGCGGCAGGGATCCAATGCAGGGCTGCTATCACCGACAGCATACCCCAGCTCTCGACGTCCATCAGTATTTGAGGAGGCGACGACGGCCACAGAGGCCATTAATCTGGCCATCATGCGCAGCAACTTGACTTCCGAGGGTCAGCAAAGCCCAAACCGCTTCGAGATTGCCCGCAACGGACAGCGGGTGGGTGTCGTTATGCTTACGCGCCCCTCGTACCGTCTGGGCGAAGTCGTTACTATGGCCATTGACTTCACAGATGCCGAAATCCCCTGCTACGCGGTTCATTCCTGTCTCGAGTCGGCCGAGCGAGTCGAGCCGCACCTGGCCATCCGCTCAGAAGCCTCGATCCACCGCGTCACGCGGAAAGTCCACGTGTCTGCCTCGGAGGCGACGCTCTACTCGCGGAGAATGGTCTTCACTCCGACTATCCCCATTACTGCGACACCAGAGTTCGTCACGACGGGCATCTCATTCGAGTGGAAGATCCGCGTGGAATTCGTGGTGCCGAGCCAGGAGACCGAGCTGGAGCGTGAGGCGCCTAGCACGCATCCATTACTAGAAGAAATATCCCGGGACGAGCGCGGAGGTCTAGTGCTCGTGGCAGTAGAAAACTTGGCGTGCGAGAGCTTCGAGGTGGCAGTCCCCCTGCGCGTATACGGTGCTGTGGCAACGGGGCTCGAGAAGCTGGAGCGGGACGAGGCATTGGAAGAGGGACTCGCTGTTTGATTACGATGATGTGGTGGGATCATACATACCACACACGGTGGGTTTACAAGGCAGGGCAGATGGAACCAGACAGAACAAGGAGATTCATTCGCGGGCGTTGGATAGAAAAACATTTTTTTCCTGGAACACGGCACCACCGTCTTTTTTCCCCCTCTTCCGCGAAGCAATTTACAGAGACTTTTCACTATTCCTATCACCCAAAAAGACAAAGAGTTCACCCCCCCGGTGCTGGACTGGGGGCTACATCTCTTGGTGCTCATGCTGGGAAATTTGGGTGCTCATTCCGGGACTCGAACTCGGGTACTCTCGTATGCGCTTAGCCTGTCGTCGAGTAGGCTGGTTGGCGTAGATAATTGATGTTGACCAGTAACCACTCCACCACCCAGCCAGTTTGACCTAACCCGTCGACCTAGACGGGCGCCTGCTGGCTGGTGACTGGAATGGAGTTGAGGGGGTATATGAAGGCTTTCTCTGTGTGGTTATTCGGGTTGAGTATTCGGGTGGTTGTGGTGAGAAGGTTATCGGATGAAGGTTCAGGAGGAGGAAGGTGCTAGGGAGGGGGGAGGGGGGCATTGGCGAGAACCGCGATGTCTCTTGAACCGGGACCCAAGGTAGTACCTCAGGCAGGCAAGCTATTGCTACCTGGCTCCAAGAGATGAGGTAGTTTTAGGGTGACTTTAAATTTCTCACTTTTTATATGCATGACACGATTCGATGCGAATCTCACACTGCCTTACCTTGATTCGAAGTCATACCAGTCATTCAGGGGAAAGCTATGTTTGACCTCACGCAGTAGTTTGGCTTGGATTGGTCGGTCACCACATGAATTCAAAGCGGCTTCATTTGTAGATGGACCAGGACGTAGTTTTAGTTGGTCAATGACGAGGTACACCTCGTCATGTTGTATTCCCCGCGCCCCGAAGAATAAGAAAAGGGGGGCAAATATGTAGAGCTGTAAACCCAAGAGAGCAGACCCAAAGGATCAAGTAGTCAAGTTTGCAAAAAGCCGCCAAAAATCGGCATCCAAATTTCCTCGTCCCCTTTTGTTCGTATCCACGGTGTCCAAAGTAAGGCACCCCCGGGTGTAGTGTAAATAGTATGCCATCCCCCCAATTCCCTGACCCCCCCAGGCCCCTCCTGCTATTCTGTCCCATTAGGTCCTTGGGCACATTGAAAACTCCTGGCTCCAGTTCGCCGCCCCTGCTCTCTCAGGACTCCGTGATCTTTTAATGTATGTGACGGATGTCTCTCGCTCTCGCAAATCGAAGAAATAAAAAAAGAAAAAAAGTCGCTAGTGTTGTGTCGAAAGAATGACGAATAAACAAATAGACAAAATTTGCCGACAATCTAAAGATAGGGGTTATGATGCCCTTTTCCGCGTGCAATATCCCAAAAGTCCAAGGCTGAGCATATTTGGACTTTGTGCTGTAGAGTAGGTCGATGATTAATCCCTCCCAAACGCCAGGGTTCTTCTCCAGATAACGCCGTTATATCGAGCAAGTGTTGTACAATGCGGGTTCGGTCGGAAGGATTGATGTAAAAATACAATGAGAGTGTGTTAAGGGAATGATGTAGAGGTGGCTTCGCCGCCGGCTGTGTCAGGCCGTACGGCGAGGAGCTCTTCTTCTCGCTCCTCGCTCGGAGTTTGTACCTCTCTTCCTTGGAAGGTGTTCCGTAGCTTTTCGTCAAGCATGGAGGCCAGACGCTCCTCATACTGGTCCAGGAGACCGCTCAGGAGAGCCGAGTCGTGCATTGCTTTGGTTCTCGTAGCCCTATCGCCGAGCGCGGCCGCTGTCAACCGCAGCTCTTGGTCGATCTCAAAGATGACGTCTTCGCTTAGTGGCTCCGTAGAGGAAAGCTTCTTTCTATAAGCCCTCAGCGTACGACAAGCCTGCTCTGTGGCCATGTTGAGGCTGCCAAATCCGCGCAAGTTGGGCGAGCTCTTCTTCGGTGGCAGGCCCAAAGACGGAAGCGAGGGTCGCCTAGATGCCCTCGACTTCGGACTGATGGGAGGACTGCCAGACCCGGACGAGCGTCGTGATGGTGTGTCTTCAGCTAGCGGACTGCTTTGCATGCCTGTTTTGGGCGTGCTCACGCTATTGTTGCTCAGGCCATAGCGAGAGGTCCGACTTCGAATGGTCCTGGGTGGAGATCGTCGGCCGCCCTGAGCTGAGGAAGGACGCTGAAATTCGGCCAATTCTGCTTTGGAAAGAACTCGTCGCAGTGGTGGTCTGGTGGAAGCGGATCCGTCTTTCATCGGGGATGGATCTCTGCTTGTAGATAAACGAGCTGTGTCGTCCGTTTCCATAGACCAAAGCATTACGGTCCCGTCAGATCCTACGCTGATGACCCTCTGGCAGCCATCTTCATCGTCGGTCAACGTGACACCGTTGATGGCTTCTGTATGGCCCCATTCCCTGTCTACAAAGTGACCGGAATGAGCGTCGTAAAGACGGACGGATTTGTCCGTGTTCGATATGCCCAGCAAAAAGCCCGACTCTTTCCCGGCAGGTTGAGTAAAAATGAGAGACTCCAGAATGGCAGTCTCGGCTCCGCTCTCATCAACGCACTTGAAGCAGTTGAGGAGTCGACCATTGGAGAGATCGTATTGGCAGACTGACCGATCCAGCATGGAGACGAATACAGTCCTTTCATCCTGGCCCAGAGCGAACGACGTTGGGGCTGCTTTCAGAGTGTTTGCTCTGGAAGGGAGAGCAGCAAGCTCGTCTTCCTCATCCTCTTTGCAGACTATGTCATAGGTTTGCAGTGTCCTATCCATGGAACAAGTCATTATCTTGTCCTCTGACTGGATTAGCACTTGAACAACCCTAGCAGCGAATTCCAGCGTCTGGAAGTGCCGGAACTCTCCAACTGACGTGCGGTGAAATAGCTGCGCAGTTCGGTCTCTGCCCCATGTAGCTAGAAGGAACTTATTGTCGTCTTCATAGATGCTGACGCCCTGACAGTCGGACGAATGAGCCTTCGTCTCCAGCAGGCATTCCTTCGTGGACATGTCAATTATTCTGAGAACGCCAAACTTGTCGGCTGCTACAAGCATCTTCCCAGCCCTGGTCGCTCGGACCACATTGAGCTGATTGACGGGGTCCATTTCGCTCTCAGGGATGACCTGTTCAATGGGCACATCTAGGGAGCACTTGATCTTACCCTTCATATCCCAGAAAATGACCTTGCCAGACCCGGACCACGTAAAGAAATCTGCACCTTGGTCGTTGGGCTTTGACATTGATTGAATGCCCAAAATCTGGTCTCCGTGTCCTGGTATAGAAACGTGTGACGGGTCGTCCACCGTTTGGCCCGGCTGATAGCTCGAGCTCCAAATATCTACGGTGTGCTTCTCGTCGATGGTTACTAGGTTTTCTGTCAAGAACCCCATGGCGACGAGGCCAGCAGGTGCGATGCTTTTCGATAGAACACCGTCTGGGAGACTGTCGAGGACAGCCTTGACGCTGAGAGTCGCGAATTGGCCCTCCTTTCCGGAGAGATATGCAGTGGCATGTCTGATGGTGATGGAAGTGATCGGAAAATCGACCGTGAGTGACTTCACGAGCTTTGTCTGTTTGCCGTCATCCTCCACGACACAGACGTCGCCAGCCTCTGAGCAGATGATTATGCTCGTTTCGTCGACGACCGCCGCGCAGTTAAAGGTACCATCCAGGAGCGACCCGAGTAGCACGTTGCGGCCGTTGAGAACTCTTTGGGGCGTGGAAATGCCCTCACTGAACCTTGTCTTCAAGGGGGAAGAGGTCTGAGTTTCCTCGACTTTCCAAATCTTGATGTGTCGTACGCCGAGCGTGACAAGGCTGCTGCCCATCCAAACCATGCCCTTGATAGTGGAGGTACACTTGTTTTGCTGATACAACTTGGCAGCGCCAGTACGAGGGTCGATTTTCCAGATGTAGAGGAAGCCGTCGTTGGCCGTACCCAAAGAAGCAAGCCACCTGGTATCCGCCGACCATGCCACTGCATTCACACCAAATCCATGCTCGCTGATGGAGACCAATGGCACGTCAGATGATGCGTCCTCGAGGTTGAAGATGAGCACGCGAGGAGCGTAACCCGTCTCTCCGACTGCCAAATATCGCCCATCTCTACTTAGCGCGAGGCACGTCGCAGCCTTGATACGCTCGCGGCTGGTCCACGTTGATCCAGGCGAGTCGTTCCAACTTTGCGATTCCCGGATCCCAATCGCGGCGCGATTCCTGCTATCATTGGCCTTGGGCGTTGAAGGCGCTGAGTAGTTGTTCAGTAAGGTCGTCGAGCCGTACACGGGTGTCGCAGTCGGGCGAGCTCGGTAGAAGCGCTGAGCATAGTGTTCACCGTCGACATCGACAACAACGACGGCGCCGCCTGCTATGTAGGCAAAGGAGGAGTTTACGGTATCGAAGCCTGTTGGCGAAGCGCAGGTGGTGCCAATGACTCGCTTGAGGGAAAGCCGGGACTCGTGGGGTAGGCGCCCTCGGATGGGGGTTCGGTTAGATCGTTGTTGAAGGTAAGGGGAGTTTCCCGGCGTCAGTCTGAGCCGGTTCGTGGGAGTCGCGCTCATTATATCGCCATTGGCTCGCGAGCGTTGTCGCAAGATTAGGTTGGAATTACGAGTTGTCGGAGCAGAATTAGGTCGTGGAGGTCACCCCCAGGTAGGTCGGTGACGTGATTGAGAATGTGAAAGAAAGAACGTTTGTCGCAATATTCGCTATCGCAAGTCCAAAGGAGAGTATGGCAAGGTAGGTAGGTAGATAGGTAGGAGTTGGCAAAATTAGTGCGGTAGGCGCGCCGAGCGGTGTAAGTCGAGAAGGTGAAAAAGTCGGGCTGGCAGTGAATGTCTAAGTGGCTGATGGAAAGCTGCGAAAGAGGTCAATTTCTGTGTCTCACTCAATTGGTCGGGACAATCAATTGTGCATGAAGAAGGAGGGAACGTACAGTGACATCAGGCGGGCAAACGTTCCCCAAGCCCTGCAGGAATTAATGGGGTGTTCAAAAAAGAAAGAAATGGTGCAGGTATCCGAGCGTGAAGAAGAATGGGAAGGACGCGATGTGCCGAAAAAAGTGAAGAGGTTTTGCGGATGGACGGTTTTCCAACGTCTAGCAAGCAGCAGCAGGTTCGGCTGTCAATCCTCAGGGTTGGAGCCGGTTGGGCGAAGGAGCAGTCTGCCGGGAAGGGCCCTGATGGTGGGAAGGAAGTGATGTGCGGTGCCTGGATTGCCTTGCCCTGTGCTTGTCGGTCCTGTGGGAAGGACGGTCGCCTGTTGGTCGCAGCTTGCTGCAGGTGGGAGCGGGAGAGCTGAGGTGGGAGAGCAGAACCTGGACTGGGGTTGCAGCCAGTTGAAGCACCAATGGCAGTGTGGGAGAGCATGAGAGGAGACCATCGGCAGGCGGGGGGCATCCAAACCAACTGGGTCGATTTGCTCTTTTTCTGAATAAACCCTGTCACTCTGTTCCCTAAACGGGTCACTCCAACCCACCAGCTGGAGGGGTTATTGAAGGGCGGTCTGGCGGGAAGGATCCAATCACAAATCTCGTCACACCGAAGCTTCACCTCTCATAGGCAGTATCCGTACACTTTCTAACAATCGTTTCTATAACCGTCTCTACGACAGCCAGACATTCCTGTATAGCGGTCATAACTCAATCATTCGTGTTACTCGGTCGCTGCCGTTGACGTACCAACTGCAATCCATAAGTAAGAGAGAACAAAGGAATTCTTCGAATGGGGCGTGTTTCACAAGACTACGATGAAGAAGTCCATCATTCCTTTGTTCTCTTGATGTCATAGCCCAGGTGATTTCCACAAGAACGTCTCACTGATCATTTTGCTGCTAGCCCAAAATTCTTCAAGAGAGACAGCCATTGAGCTTGAACTCGAGAGAGAAAGCTCGAGAGGAGGTCCAAGAGGCCAAGCCCAGTGCTAGTAACCCCCAACTTCAACCTCTCCGTCTATCCGTGATCCCGTCTCAATTGACGCGAGACCCTGAGGGAAAACGCCCCCTGTCCCGAAAAAGCAAACATCAAAACGTCTGGCCGTCAGCCATCAGCCATCAACCCAAACATCATTCACCCCCGCGTCCGTTCAGAAAAAGGGGGTCCGGCCGTTCTTTACTATTCATGTTTAAGCACAGATTGAAGGAGGCCCCAACATCGTACGGCACACGTCCTCTAAAGCCTTCAGATCTCTCACATCCAAACCCTTGACGTACCAACATTGACAGCGCACCCCTAGCTAGCAGACACGTCTCCCGCTATCTGCAAAAAACGACGTTTGTGTCTCAATCTTCTGGTGCCATCTTACCTCCCTCGTTAAATGTGCGCCCGCGCCCGCACCGCCGTCCGCTAGGTACCTCACTGCGTAGGTCACAAGATACGTGACATTCATTATACGACTGGGACGCGGCGAGTCGGAATCGGGTCATGGAAATGAGCTGCTGCCAGGGCCCCCTGTCGCTCTTTAATGCTCCCACCGCAGCGGTTGACCGCCGATGTCGTAACCAAGAATCTCTCTCTCTTTCTCTCCCCCACTGCGGCCCTGGGCCCTCGGGCTGGTGGTAATTAGATCCGGACGGGTGCGACGCAAGACGTGCTCACTCCGCGTTCAGATATGTGACAACCGATTTTGATATCAGTCGCTGTCACTTTACTCCGTATTCAATGTTGCCGTATCACGCCATGGTAAGAGAAAGAGAATAGCCGCGTACTTATGCCGCGCAAAGCAACGACGATCCTCATGAAGCGTATCAAAAACTCCAAAAATTCTCGTTGACATCCATGCCGCGGAGGGACTCGGCGACTCGCTAATCGATCAAACTATCGACAGAATTATTTCCCTCCTAGTCGATCATCCTCATCTCACCATAACCTTAAAAAAAAAGCCCTTCCCTCCCACCACCCATGTCCTAAACACGTAGCCAGCCAGTGTGTCGCGTCCAGGCTCGCTGTAGTCCTTTTTTGTGATTTAATTTTCGTTCATGCCACTTCGGCCCTTTAGATTTTTTGTTTCGCTACATCGTTGCAAGAGAACTTATGAAAACTCGCTACTGGCTTTGCGGCTTTTTGACAATTATGCCATCTCACCATCGACAGCCTCGAAAAGCGCGATAGGCACGCCATGGCCCGGCGCGCCGACGATCTCGGCCCTGATGACCTGCGCGTTCCAGTCTCCGCGGTATTCAAGCTTGTCAAACTTCTGCAGGATTCTCGCCACTGAGTACGATGTTAGCATTTGGTCAGCGACATCACCATGTATATCGTACGCGGCCTGAGCAAAAACAGAAGTGCAGGAGAAGATGAGCATGGGCACTCACTCGTATAAGCCATCTCCGTGTTGGCAAAGTTTTGTCCAACGCAGATTCTCGGTCCACCGTTGAACGGCACATATTGCCACGGCTTCGGCTGCCAGTGCTCCCACCGTTCGGGGCTGTAGATAGCCGGGTCCGCAAACGTCTCTGACACTTCAGGATAAAGATCCCGCCTTCTCTGCATGGCGAGCGTGCTGTACACAACCGAATCACCCTCGATCACGGCAATGTCAGGGTTGCCATTCCTGCCGGGCAAGGTCGTCGTCGTCAACGCGGAGCGCACATTGAAAGGCACCGCGGGGTACAGGCGCAGAGTCTCCTGGAGGCAATTGGTCAAATACTTCATGCTCTTGAGATCCTCATAGGTCGGTGCCCTCTTCGGCCCCAAAGTCGTCAGAATCTCAGCGCGCAGCTTGGCATATGTGGCAGGGTAACGGGAAAGCTCATAGAGAGTCCACGAGAGCGTCGCAGCAGTGGTATCACGACCGGCAAGGAGGATAGCAACGAGCTGGTCGCGGATGACCTTGGGATCGCGCGTGAACCGAGCAATGTTGTGAAGGAAAGTAAAGTCCTTGTCAGACTTGGAGAGCTTCTCGAGCTCGGATGGCGGCAAGGCCAAGGCCTCTTGAATGAAAGGGTGGATAAACTCCTCAATGACCTTGATGCCGCGCTTATACGTTCCGTGGGGCAAGATGTTCTCAAAAGGTCTAGCATTGGGTCAGCTCGATTGATTCTATTCACCCTCGCCAAGGATACATACGCCATGATTGTGTAAAACATTTGATAGCTCTGGACTTCGTTGAATGCGTGTGCAAAGTGATGCTTCGGGCTGTCAGGTAGATTAGCATCGCGTCAACGCCGGCTGCAGGTCCAAGTGGTCTACTCACTTGCCAAGACTGTTGACACCATGTCCAAGCAGGAAATCGGTCGTCACATCGAGCGTCATACGATAGAACAGATCCGAAATGTCAAAGGTGACTCCTGACGCCGGGAACTTGTCCATCATGATGTTGGTCCACTTGTCAAAGATGTGTAAGTCGCTAACCCGATCCTTGATGAACATGGGCCGGATCAAGCTCCGGTTATCCTGCCATGTCTTTCCATCCGTAGTGAAGATGCTGTCACCCAGGAACGGAGACCAGACTTGATGGAACATAGGCCCCTTTCCAAAGTCGGCAAACTTGGAGGTAAGAACAGTCTTGATGTGCTCTGGCTCTCTGGTGATGAGGAAGCGGAGCTTGCCCGTGAAGCCAATCTCGACTGTGTTCGGAGACTCGGGGGTAGCGACGCTGAAAAGAGTGTTGAATCCCTCGAGGAGCTGGTGCCTGAGTTGATAACGTCCAATCCGCAAGAAAACCGGAATGGCTTCGCATTAATTAGCTACCTGCTCTCGAATGCGGGGAGAGGAACCTTATCGTTATTACCTGTAAAGGGGTTGGAAGCAATGACTGGAGCTCTTATACCACCAGATTTGCTGAGGAGATATTCCATCCTAACCTTGAAGAACACCAGGAGTAGGAGGTAGGCTCCAAAAATGGAGCCTCCAATGTAGAGCGGGTTAGCCGCCGTCAAGCTCTCGAGTAAACCCATCTTGATGATAGTGCGAGTTGGATCCCTTAGCAATTGCACTAAGTGAGGGTTCCTGTAATGACAGGTGTCTCCGGGACAGATGAAGAAAGGGTTTCGAGGAGAGGAAAAGTTCTAGAAATCGAATTGTAAATTCAAAACTGTAGAATTTCTGCAATTAGGAACAACCGATGTTTAGCACCGAGGGGCTGGGCAGGAGGTAGGAGCAGCATCGTCTTAACTGAGCTGTTTCAATCCTCACCGAGCGGCACATGTAAGTGTGCTTGCTCAGGCCGCGGTTAGGTTCGACCCTCCACTTGGGGTATGCCTTCACTTGTTTCGTTTGGACTTGGTGGTCATCATCTTCAGGTGAGAAGACGATTGGCTAGAAGACCTGGCTCATGCATCGTGATCGAGCGTCTTACACGGACCATCCCAGGATCTGCCATGCAACTGCACTTGTCTCAATGTCACTAAATCAGCGTCAATCGTCTGGGCTGCCCGTAAGTTCCGACACTTACAACGCAGAAGGTGAGCTGTAAAGGCGGGGGGACTCGGCCAAGCCCCCGCATGACACTGGCGAATGTCTCCGTTAAGTCTAAACGGCTTCCGATGCGAGGACAGGACGGTGTCCCATCATGTCCGGACGCATGTTTGACATGCAAGCCCAAGAACAACAGTTGGGAATAGCAAAATAATAACGGGGCCTTAGGGAAAGCTTTCCAATACTCAATTCCGAGGGTCGAGAGTAAGATATTCGCAAAAGCAAAAGGAACAGGACCGACCGCGATTCGAACGCGGGGCCTAGAGATAAACTGCGTATGACTGCAATCTCTCGCTCTACCACTGAGCTATCGATCCTACTCAGTTATTGGATGAAATCTGGGTCTCGAAAGCGGAACTATGACCCATGGATCTAATCAGCGCGCTCCCCACACAAGCCCTGACGGACCCCGCAAAGGCGGGAGATCAGATCTAGGTTCATCAACTTCACGAGCCAGTCGGCGAAATCCCTTCAGTGCCAAGTTGTGTATCTTGACAACACGGAAGTGGCGTACGTGACAGCTTTGACATCAGCACCAGATGAGAGCGGTTATCGTAGCAGAAACTTCAGCTCGGGCTGCCTTGCGTCAAACTTGGACAGGTCACAGCGTAGACTACTAAGGTAGACCGCTCTTGCCCTCTGGTCGGACTGCCATGACTCTTCAGCGTTGTCGCACCTGTCAAATCTTCAGGTCAAGGTATCGTGCAACCGTCGTATCATGATCAGCTCGAAAAGGAAACGATGTCGCCCTGCCATCACCAATGGTATTATGATCGTCTTCACTCCATCTTGGAACCCTGTGTCAGTCTTAGATCGGACAGTGCACAGTCTTTGGAGCGTTCATCTCGTAAACGGCATGCCTTTGCACTTGAGATGAAGCAATTTGTCACAATGTCGAAAGGATAGCAAGAAATTATGGCGACCACTTCGAATGGTACCTGTAGGCTTGCAGGTAAAACTCCAGCCCAGGTTCAGTCTCGATATTCGTGATCACTTCTTGTACCTGACGATGAATTCCCGTGGTGTTCCTCACACTCAGTTGTGTGTTGGCATTCAAGGAAGGCTGCTCCAGAGCAGTGGTAGAACGGTGTCGCTGCCACTCGCAAAATGAGAGGAAGGAAATAAGGGGCTCCGCTATCTTAGAGGAGAGACAAACTGATGCGCGTTAAGCTCCATTGTCCGCTCCTCATTCCTCGAAACCTGAGTGTTGGCGATCGAACTTAATAAGAAGCCAGAAGCAGATATCTTGTTGCCAAAAGCTTCTCGACGGGACCGAGAAACTTTGGTGACAGATGACTACCCAGCTCGGAATTTCGGCTACTGCCAGAAGCCCCGAGTTTGCGCCTGATTCGATGGTAAGGAATGTGACTTTTCTCCGCGTGGTTCATCGAGGCCCGTGGGGATTGCGCGGGGTGTCCTCAGCCCCAGATTTACTGCTCTCCACGTTGGCCAGATGTCTCTGGTACTGTGTTCCGCTCTTCCGGGGCAAACTGGGCGTCTGTTTCCGTCCCCAACTGACTGAGGTGGCCGAAACTCATAGAGTACCGGTAATCTCATAAAACAACCCTCCGCTCGTCCTTGAAGCCGCCGCACTACCGGATCCGGGGATGAACCCGGGCGTCAGCATTAACTGGGGTCTCGAGACAAAGTGCGCGGCACACAGTGTAAGTTGTTGGCAGGTAAAGTAAGGGAGTTGACCGAGGGTTTCGAGCTGCAGGAGCTTCCCCGCAAAGCTGGAGAAGTAGAAAGGGTGGTTGGTTGGGGTTCTGAGCGTGTTGAGGCAAGATGGGATCAACTGTTTGCGTGAGAGGTTCAGCTATTCATAGGTGGCATGCGGGGAATAGATGGGGGAGCGTTTGAGAATCGCGGGGCCCCATCCGTAGCCGCCACGCTTGTGGGCAACTCTGTCAGACGCAGTGGGCATTGTCTGCGTCAGGAGGTTGGATTTGCAAAGCTCCCTTCGAGCGAAGGTGTGGAGGCTGGCCCTCATTATTGGAGTATGCCGGCGGAGGTTTCGCAGGCAGGTGGCAGCTTGCTGCGGAAGTTTGGGGGAAGATTGCATGAGCAACGAGCTTGCAGCCGAAGGTGCAGCGTGAGGCGTGAATAAGTGGCACCAAGGGCGGGGGATTGTGGGGGGACATAGTCCTATCAGCTAGGGTATTAGCAGTAAGTCCAAGTGTTGAGGCAGCGTATGCTTTGTTGTTTTCCTACCTCTGTTCTGGTTCAGGGATCATGTGTGTCGTGTATCCGTATCGTGAGTCGTACTGGGCGTGGTGTTGTTGAGTAGGGGTTGCGAGCTGCATGATCCGCAGGTCCCGCTCTGGGCGAACGGAGATGAGGACTCTGAAGCTATTCGCAGCCACCTCCCTGCGACTTCGGACTAAGACTCGTGCGGCTGCTGCGCCTTTCCCAACATGGTACGCAGTAGGCAATGTCCACGAGGACCTAGGCAGGCTCGTCTCGAGTTGGCTGCCTTTCTAGAAGCGCGGCTTCTGATTATTTGCATGGCGCTTGTCAGGCCACGTAAAGTCAACTTTTGCTGAAACTTATGGGTTTATATTACGCATCATTTGGAGCTTTGTACAGAAAGGGGTTGATATTGGATTCGGCATCGAGGAGCAGACGTTGACACGGAGCATGTGAACTGCACGGTGAGATGGTGGTGTTGATGATGAACAGTGACGGAACCGTCGACGGGCGGGATTTAGACCCCTGGAACGGTCAAGGCGGCTGGACTGTTTTCGGCGGGTTTGGTGGTGTGCGGAATGAGGTGGTGTGTGGAAGACTGTAGCGAATGATGCCCGGCGTTGGGTGGTTCTCTCCAGTAAGGCCGTTCAGATGCCGAGAGATTGCGGCGACGGGCGTCAGCGAAAGGGCATTGGGCCCTGTAGGTGTAAGGTAGTCGATCTCCACCAGAGCTTCTATTGCCCGATCACCACCAAATGGCCCAAATACCAAGGTAGATCATAGATTGTAGAGTACCTACCTATTCTCAGTACCCTGTATTCGTAGTATGACTAAGGCAATAGAAGTACCTCGTAGGGTGGGGAAGAAGGTGCGCATCCCGACTATCCGCGCTTCCTGCCTTCCGGACGAGCGAGTGGTGTCATGATATGACGGACCTTCTGTTGTTCTTTCCCAATCTCTCCGAGCAACATTTGTTCATTGCGGGAGCTTCTTCTAAGTGGAAACGGGCAGGGAGGGATTAAAAAAGAATATCCCAGATTAAAAAAAAGGAGGCTCACCAAAAGACGAGGATCTGGACATGGATCCGGCAGCTCCCGAAATGGGGAATGGGCTCTGCGTGGTGCTGTTTTCCCACTGCTGTGGCGCGGGCCTGCCGTGGCTTTGGCCGCATCTCATTCGTCCCATCTCGTGATTCTCCATCTTCAGCTTGGAATCTGGTGCTTTTCTGGTAGTTCTTCGGCCCTACAGCTCAAAATCTCTTCAGCAACACCGCAACATGCTATTCATCGGCCCTGTCTCGTAACTGCTTTACTTCGGAACAATCATCATGGAATCAAGATGGATACTACTAGAATCCCACTCGGGCTGTCTCGCCTGCATCTTCGCCGTCACTTTCGGTCTCGTATCTATCAGATCAGATCAGGTCCGCCGATCCAGTCCAGACACAAAGAACATGCAGGAAAGCAAGTTGGCAAGGCATGGGACGGTGTGTAATACTGGGACCGAAGCTGGCAGACACATACAGTTTACTGTACGGACCTGCCAACGAAACCCAACCCAACCTGTCGGCGACGGCCGTCGACCAAACAAAGATGCTTCAACTTCCAAGAACAGGAAGAAGAGGGAACTCTCAACACGGCCGTGGTTCCACCCTTCTCACTGCTCACAGTCAGAGCTGCAAACGAAGCCCACTCCCCACTCGTTTCGATATTGTTCACTGTGGGTTGCGCAGTGCTCCGACGTCAATCCGCGCCTGTCAGGTGGAGTTGTCGGTTCCTTCGTCAATCATTCCCCCTATCCATGCCATGGACAAAAACTTCAATCGATTGAAGCCTCGAGACTCAGAGTCGAGAACGTACACTACCAAAACTTCCATCTATCCATGCCTGCTGTCCTGACGCACCAACGCCCTTGATCCTAGCTCACACATCCCACACCACACTTTACCTTACTGTGTATAGTGGTGCGTGTGTAGGGTCCCCAAGTGCCAGGGGGCGCCTCATGGCATATCCAGCCCGTCGTCCGCTATCCGCGCCTTCGGTCGACAGCAGCCGTTGCATCGACGATGCATCCCAGAACGTGCCTCAAGTACCTCTTCGTGGTACCTCTGCACTGGGGAAAGCTGTTTCTGAGGCCAATCACGGTCCAACACCGCCATGCTCTTACGCTCCCGCTTGCCCTAACACCGCGCGGGGTAATACTGCGTAAATGTTTCCCTTTGTACCTAGCCTTCTTTTCCAAGGTAGCAGTAGCAGCACTACAACTTTCTCCTCCAACCCGGGCCCGTTCCTGC